TCTTCCCGGATTAGAATGAGCCTTCAGTAACCCATGCTTGCCGTAAGAGGCGACTAACGGGATCGGGTGGTCAGGCTCGCTGACTTGGTTGACACATGTCATCGGTTCCCAATTGCGCAGATCGATGCTCCTGCTGTTGATCACTGGATTGTCTGGTCTAGATTCGATTATTTACAGACCGCCGCCATATAGCTGGCATATTGCTGAGTGCGGCGTAAAACTAAACTCATTTGCTCACTCTATTAGTCTTCATACCTGCCAACTGTCTCAGTCAGTATCCATCAGCGACGTGATGAGATGAGGATGGTGATGATGCTGTCATCTCTTTAATGGACGCTGTGTTTTTCCGTGAAGCAAGACGCCCAGCTGTAAAAGTGTTCGATGGTCCAAACGAAGACCTGGGTTCGTTTCCCTACATTGGTGCCTGCAAAATTTGTGAAGACCATGTCTGGTGTCTTCCGTCTTGTTATTACTCGAGCATTACTAACAACGGTGTAAATCTATATATTCATTTACTTACTAGTCAAGTAGTAACATTGTATACATGTAGTGCTAACCTAAAAATCTGATGATGACGAGGATTTAGATACCAATAGGTGTTTTTAACATATAACTTTGTTATTACGAAATGAGTCTGGAACCAAAGCGCACCGTTTAATATTTATTATTGAGGCGGTGGGGTAGGCTAGTGGTTAAAGCGTTCGCTCACCACGCCGAAGGCCCGGGTTCGATTGCCCACATAGGTAAAATGTGTGAAGCCCATTTATGGTGTCCCCCGCCGTGATATTGCTGGAATATTGCTACAAGCAGCGTAAAATCAAACTCACTCACTCATCATATTTATTATTGACTTCATTGCTTCTTGAGGTCCTACATGTGCAAGTTATTTCAGTTTCATTACAAACCTTATTGAAAGGGGATTTTAATAATCCAACCTGGATCACTGTAAGCAACCTCAAACGTAACTTTAAGTGAGACCCGATCGATCGAACAGCCTTGGCTCCCCCATATAATGGATCTGATTACCAAGTTATCTAACAAACGCGCTCGTCTTTCACTCAGAGACCAATGCTTCCTTCATAACGTATTGAACTTGAACCAAGGGTTTTCAAGGTTTCTCAGAATTCACATAGACATTTTCCTTATGGTATGGCGGTATTTGTATTGGTGAGATATTCTCACGCTGACCGAGGAATGCAGACAGAGAAAGGTCGATGGCCAGTCTATTTTAGCCAGGAACATAGGAGGAAGATTGAAAGTCTTCATCAAAGGCTCTCCTTTCCATCAAGACACTTATTGTCCTCTCTTGTGTCATTATTCTTTCGTTTATGTCTCTGAAACTATGTCATTAGAATCACATTTATCGTCTGTTGTCGTACAGCAAGAGTTTAAATAACATCAACCCAGATGCCAGTCAGGGAGGTTACGGTGATTTTACTCGAATGTGTTACACAATCCGCTCAGAGTTATTTCCCTTTGTTCCTGCGTTTTAGGGACGTCATATCTTTTGAGTCACAGGGAATGGCGTGACGTCAAAACAGAGATGCGCTTTTCATATAATGAGCACTAAACCTTTCAATATTCGCTTCATTTCCCTGAGGACATTCGGTTCAGGTTAATTTGACCTCTACAATAATTACGGAATGAGGTCTACCGATAGTCATCGAGGGTCTTGCGGGTTTCCTAATCAAGAAGCTTCACTTGGGCCGCCTGACGTTGGTGTGGCCTGGCGGTTAAAGTGTTCGCTGGTCAAGCCGATTCAACACATGGGTACAATATGTGAAGCCCATGTATGGTGTCCTCCGCCATGATATTACTCGAATATTGCTAAAAGCGGGGTAAAACTAAACTCACTCACTCACTTGGGTCGATGGGGTAGGCTGGTATTTAAAGCATTCGCCCGGGTCTGATTCCCCACATGGGTACAATGTGTGAAGCCCATTTCTGGTGTCCCCCGCCGTGATGTTGCTGGAATATTGCCTAAAACTGCGTATGAAGAAGGATGTTTTTGTTGAATTTTATTGATAATATATTCACACATATTTTAATTGACATCATTTACGAAACTTGACTAAACAACTATAGTCATTTTCATACTGAAGTTATTTTCATACTGATGTTAAAAATCTCCCTAGAACAAGGTGTAAGAGTATCATATTCTGTCCGCCAGGGAACTTGAATACACATTTATTCTTTAAAAAAATCATCTTCTAATCAGTTCAGAGAGCCATTGTTAGTATGCGATATCATGCCTTGTTCAGATTAGCATGAGCAAAACTTTTTTAACAAACTAGAGCTCGTTATACTCAGTGAGGGCTGGTACGGATGCTGGACAGTAGTACCCTCAGGTTACTGTGAGCTCATTGCATATGGTTGTCCGACGTCGCATTCACATTTATTTTACTTATTTGTTATCTACAGAACTCTTGAAGCAGAAAATTAACTGATATTGTCTTTTTTTCATTTCATTCTTCGACTGTTTCCAGAGATTATCGACTCAAGTTGACCAAGAGGCAATGGCAGGTAACTCTGGAATGCCTCTCTGTAGGTCATGATCAAATTTAATACGTGCACTGCTTGAGAATGACATTAATTTTTGTTAAAGAAATTGGGAGGTGAAAAATCATTTATGGTTCACTTCAGCTCTGAATATAGCTGGCTATATCATACTTTGAATGTTTATGGGAGGTTTTATGTGATATAGAACGCCACTATGCTCACATATTGCACTGACTCTTAAATGTAAAATAGTTTAGGGTTTACTTATGATTACACAATGCCATTTAGAAAGTGGTCAAATGTAACATATGTTATATTTGGGATTACACTTTCTTAGTAAAGTACAAATTCTAGTACTTTTTTTAGTTGAGCCCCATCCGGGATTCGAACTCACACCCTCAGAGTCAGGCACCTAATCGCCAGCACACAAAGTCAGCCGCCTAACCCGCTCAGCCACCGCGACTTCCACAAGTAGTGGAAGTCGCGGTGGCTGAGCGGGTTAGTAAATTGGGCGGCTGATCTGATCGGTGGCTGAGCGGGTTAGGCGGCTGACTTTTGTCGCAGTGGCTGAGCGGGTTAGGCGGCTGACTTTGTGTGCTGGCGATTAGGTGCCTGACTCTGAGGGTGTGAGTTCCAATCCCGGATGGGGCTCAACTCAAAAAAGTACTAGAATTTGTACTTTACTAAGAAAGTGTTATCCCAAGTATATAACATAGGTTTACTTATGGTCTGGTCTGCTTTCCTAGGGAAATATAATAGATGATGACGCAGACTGGTCAATCACTTTTCTTTTCTTTTTCTATTTGTTACTTGTGTATGAAAATAGACCAAATCTAGGTGCCAATAGACCCGTCCTTAAACCATACTACCAAGTTGCGGATAACAAAAGCAGCATTATTAACTACAAATATATATGTTGGCAGGAATCAAAGGTTGTTGGAGACACATACTGTAGTGGTATAGATGCTGTAGATGTAGCTACATACAATAACACTGGAAGCAGTTCTAACCATCACCGTGGATGTAGTTGCACACATTGTCCATTGTCCGGTGATGAATGATGGTTTAGTGATCGGTTCCTTGAGTGAGTGAGTGACTGAGTGAGTGAATATAGTTTTGCGCCACTTTCGGCCCTATCCCAGCAATATCACGGCGAGGGACACAAGAAATGGGCTACACACACTGTATCCTAGTGGGGACTCAAACCCGGGCCGACGGCATGGAGATGGAATTCTTTAATCGCTAGGCTACCCCACCGCACCGATTGGGTCCTTGAGCAACAAATTCATTTGACAGATAAGTTGACGATTTTCACAAGAATATACTTTTAGTATTGCTGTCGACTGTCTTTGATGACCTGTGTAAAAAGTATGGGACCTGTGAAAGAAAGGAAAATGTACCTACCTGCATCAGGTAATTCTAATTCGGCATTGTATGACAGGGTAGTCCGTGATTCTACGTACGCTTCACGCCTGTCCCTCATCTTGTCCCAGTTCATTCTGGTTGTGGAGAATTATAAGATTTACGAACGGTCTAGTGAGTGTATGTTTTACGCCGCTTCAAGCAATATTTCAGCAATAATTCGGTGGGGGACAACCAGAAATGGGCTTCACACATTGTACCCATGAGGTGAATCGAACCGGGCCTTCAGCAATATCCCAGCTATATGGCGGCGGTCTGTAAATAATCGAGTATGGACCAGACAATCCAGTGATCAACAGCATGGGCATCGATCTGCGCAATTGGGAACCGATCACATGTGTCAACCAAGTCAGCGAGCCTGACCACCCGATCCCGTCAGTCGCCTCTTACGACAAGCATGGGTTACTGAAGATCAATATTCTAACCCGGATCTTCACGGGTCCAACTGATCCAAGAACAGATACGTAACCACGCGGTACCACGGTACGTCTCAGTTGTCACTCTTTTAACAACACTGGTCTGAACAAAAATGAATTTCATCATATCAAATTAAATGTTACATATTCACGTTCGTAAATATATTGTATTTGCCCGTATATTTAAGCTTATCTTCCTTTACACATGCGCATTGTGTGGGTGGACGTTTCCGCTAACACCAGTGGCATAACTGAATTTTGTCATCCGTTTATTTAATTTCACCGCTTATTTGCCATATACGGCCATTGTAACCTGTTTCGGCCTATAATTCACGTTTTATATTTTCTATTAATATTAATTAAGTAATAACTGTTAATTGCCGTAAACTCCGCATGCAAAATGTTCCATATAATTTTACCTGTCATATGTTATGAAACCCGCTGCACAAAGCTTAATTTATTGAAGATTCGAAATTTCTCCTTATTTGATAGATTTTTACCAGTCAAGTATCAGCTTAAAGCTTGTTCCCGGCTCAAATATTACTCCGGTCTGATAGACGGGTCCCAGCTTAGTATCAGCTAGGATTTACACGTATCTGGAAGATGACGTTTCGCGAGATTGGCCGTAGCTGTCCGAACAGCCAATCAGAATATTTCCTCGCCGTCACTGCGACCCTGTCACATACCGAAATGTTTTGATTTCGCATGCTTAGCAGGGTGACAGATCTCGCCTAGTGTGTGTCATGATTTGATTATACTCACCGTCTAAATTGCCAGACAAGCTCAGGAAACTCTGCTTTGCATTCTAAGATTTACATAGAACAAGCAGGATGCCGGTAAGTGTAATTTCCTAGAAAGACCAGAATCACATCGCGTAAAAATGTAAATTTTGTTTGGCATATTAGTTTTCGCTCTTTTTCATTCTATGGACAGAGATTTTGAGTCCGACATAAAGTTTGCACATTTCTGATAATTTCTTGTTTTTTGTCAATCGATAGCGAGTGTTGATCAATTTGTATATCATGACGTAATATGATCATAATGTATTGTGTTTTAATTTAAATATTATGAAATTGAATGCAACATGTTAACTTGTTGAATTTAGTCGCAAATCAGTCCCAAACTACACATTTATTTCTCTTTTGTATTCTTCATTTTTGTAATATATACAAATATATACTTTCTCAGGTTATCTGTAACTAACCCATCTGGAGTATAATCTTGAGGTATATCCAGTTCTTTCATTTCACTTGCATCTGCGATCTTAGTCACAGCACGCTTTGATTGACACCAAAGGCCATGGGAAGGGAAATCTTTTAGTATTCTTATGCAGAGTTCATCCTAGACTGTGCCATATTCTTTCTGTTTAGTTTAATCGTATGTTGAATATACCACTGATCAAATTACCTTGGTTACTTGCTTATATTTTAAGATCAAATATCATTACCTCACAGTCTTCCACTGTGATGATTTTGCATTTCAGACCATGGGCCCGCTTCTAAACATTTCTAGAATGAACTCTGTTTTTGTCTAGTATGGTGTGGGTTTGGATGGTTATCAAATGATCTTCGTCACGATATGGCTGAAATATTGCCTATATGACATTAAATATTAACTCATTCCCTTCAATGATCTAATATCTGGAGTATCACTATCACTCTGCACTGCACAGATGACTCTACAGCCAATTCTCAATCTCAGTTCTTCAGCTTTTCAATATGGAAATCTGTTGGTGGAAGTGCTGGCTTGCTATATTGCCTAGATTCCCAATGGTAGCAATGTGTGATGTCCAATCTCCATCCCTTGTCATGAAATATTGCTATAAGTATCATTGAAACTAACTCATGCTTTCTCACTTGGGCTTTTCATTCTGTTCACGTTCATGTTCATTGTGAGACAACTTACTAACCAAATACGCTGAAACACATACCCCATGCTGCTTGTGTGTGAGATGCCTGTTCACTGAAGCTACTGTGGCAGGAAGACGTGTACTTGCAAGTCAGTCAGAACATTGCTACAAGGGTCAGGTACTGCAGGGATAGAAATTAGCACTACCTCTCTTGCTAGGTTCAGTTTCAATGTTACAGGTTTTCTGAAAGTAAGTAATACATAAAACATTTTAAAGGGATATTACTATATGTTATCATTATTCAGGCTAGACTTTCTGGATTAATTTCTATCCCTGCAGTGGAAAGATCTACCTTACTAACACAATGCATCACATTTACATGGAATTCAGTGCTTTGTCATTGTATGTCAATATATGCTAATCAACTCCCAATAGGAATACTGTGCAATTTCACACGCTTATGAAACAGGAGACATATTCAAAGTATATATATGTTTACGTTTGTTTGTTATTGCTTGAAATGAAGCTTAACATGCCCAAATTATGCTGTTTGTTTGACAATATCTCTGAACAATTAGTCAGAGTCATCTGTGGCCTAGAAACTCAAAATATCCCTGTTAAATTATGAGTAGTATAAATTGACTAATCCTAAACTGACAACAGCATGTTGTCATGAGGGTACTGGTGCTCAAGGTAAAGGTATCAGTTACCCCATGACCAGGTTACCATGGTTCCAAGTAAACAGTCGAAAACAGTCATGACTTATGTTACTATTATTATCAATGATACATTGACCATTTTACACTGGTAATTCCCACTGTTCAGGAGCCAGTACATTCCATTAGTTTTCAGATTAAAACTTCTCACATACTTATTTTGTTTATCATTGTTTATGAATTAACTTTCCTGTGTTCAGATATATGCATATTTTTTATATCATTCTCTCGATTTCTCTACTTATGTTAGTGTTAATTACTATTATGAAAATTCTTTGTGAAATTACCATGATCACTACTTTTGCGGTCTCTATATTTATAAAAAAAATTATTTCTGCTTGCTCTGATCACATTGTGTTCATTTTGTTATATGATATCATCATCATCATGATAAGATTACTTATGTCGTACCATGATCATGATGATGTATTGATATCCTTCAATTAATTAAACTACATTGAAATATACAAAATGGTTCGTTTCAGGAAAACAAAACTAAAAGCATGAAAGAAACCGATAATGTGCGGGTGGCGGTTAGGTGAGAAGGAAACCTCCACAGGCCTCTCAATGAGAAGGAAACCTCCACAGCAGATTCAGGATGTAAGACAATGGTCAAGGTGAGAATTAGTAGATTTTCTGGAATTTATCAACATGATTTATCAACATGATTAAGGTCTTTTCAACTGTCAGCTTTGTGCTTTTTCAGGGGGATGAGTTTTACTGATGTATCATGATACATCACATTTTTCAATACATTTTGACATTTTGATTCAAAACAATTTGACCATGCTGGTAATATATTGTAGCCATAAGTATGGCTGAAAGGGTTTTAGTGTATAGTATCAGTGATAGGCACCTCAGCACCTTACTGCTTGCTGAAATGTACCCAAATGTACCCAGGATACACAAATGTGTATTGCCTGACTTGATGTGAGAGGATGTGTCCATTCCACAATGTGGGACAACTATTTTGAAATTCTAGACGATAGATTTCTGTGAAACAATTGGTCACTCGTTGAAGGCTCCAGTGTCATTAATGGCCATGCTACATGTGTTTTCCAATTCTGGCAAGGTGCCATTTCAGCATACAAGAAGGTAATTGGTTACATATAAGTAGAACTCTGTGGGGATGCAGGTCTAGAAGTAGAATTGGTGCCCAACAGTCTATGTTCATAAGTTGTCAGTCAATCTTGTGATACCCTGATCCAGATTCTATTGCATATTGGTTGCCATCATCATGATCATATTTCTTGATTATTGCTGAGTGCAGTTGTAACATGCTTAACAAAAAACAACGATATATCACAGGGTTCGAAATACCCCATATATTAGTGTGCCATGGCACAGTAAATATTGAAAAGACACAGCTAATAAATGTTCTCCGTGCCCTTATGGCACTCCTAATTTTTAAGAGACATGACTCACCTTTAGGCATGTAATCCCCAAAACAATTATTTTTTTCCAAATTGAATAATACCATACATATTTGAATGCTCATAAACCGATTTCTTTATTTAACAATAAATTTCAAATGATCATCATCATTGTTATTTATTCTAAAAACTTGTGGGCATACTCGATTTCTGAAAGACACACCTAAGATGTTTGTCTGGTGCCCTAAGGAACACTTAGAAAAAAAAGTATTTCTATCCCTGTATCAATACTACAGCTTGTTCAGCTTCACCTGAGCTGCTTTACATATGCATGACCGGGAGGTTAAATGGCACAAACGTCAGGTCGAGTTAACTTCATTAAATAGGGAAGCAGAGAATGTTATTAATGTTGAGTTCGTGCGAAAACATGCATGCATGGATTCATTACAGGCCGAATCGGAAACAGTAAACCATCTGTAGCTTCGTTTTTAAAGAAAGTTAGGACATTGCTGATGATTTTTCGACACAGAGATGTCAAATGGCAACCTTGTCTCAGCTGTTCGGACATTTTGACAATCAACTGACAAAAGTGCACCCCTTCACAATAATAGATCGAACCAGTTGTGACACGGTCACACAATTCATTAGTATTCACTTGATCAGGTCAAGCTGAACCAGCTGTACTCCATATGACAAAACTCAAAACTGTCATTTTGAGGTCAGGAACATATCATATTTGTGTTTGTCTTCAAATCATCCAAACTGTCATTCAGCAAATCCAATGTCAGCTGTGCTTTGCATGATCAGGTGGAGTCCGTGAGAGGGACTATCACAGTCAACCACCCTAACGCCTCCCCAGGGGAACCGCCAAAGATCTTCACTTTCGACATTGTTTTTGGACCCGACTGTAAACAGCTAGACGTCTACAATGAGGTGGCCAGGCCTATAGTGGACTGTTGTCTAGCAGGGTACAATGGTAGGTCCATCATAATCCAATAATCAAAATAATTTAATAAATCATGTTTTCGTGTTTTAGCAATAACATAAAAACAGACTTTCTACTTGTTCTTTTGATTCTGAATGTCTTTTTCATTAATTGTTGAAAGTTTTGGTGGTATGTTTGAATTGTAGTGTCACTTTTTTTGTAGATAAAACATGAAATTGTCAAAGATATGGTATCTGACAAAGAATACCATTTAAGAGATGTACTTTACTGTTTATCATGTTTATTGCAAAGGCATATGCTGCTGGAATTTTGAAATGGACATAAAAGAGCATGTTTTCATCAGTATGGGCCAAATATATGCACATTAAATTATAGGTCTTGCAGGTATATGATTTTTCCTTCAACATAATTATTATATTGGACATGTACACATGTGACCCGTTTCGCTTACTCGTTACGTCCTCTGCTGATGACCATGGTGGGATTCCAGTTCCATATTTATTGTGTGTTTTGTGATTGTTTTTTTCATCATAATCAAATATTATTATTCTTTCAGGGACCATTTTCGCCTATGGACAAACGGGTACTGGCAAAACATTTACCATGGAGGGTGTGAGATCTGTGCCAGAACTTCGAGGAATCATTCCCAATTCTTTTGCACATATTTTTGGTGCCATCGCAAAGGCTGAGGGGGACATACGGTAAAGTGAAGATTTTGATGAACTTCAGAGTATATTCTTATTCCTTCATTCACCGGATGAAAGAATAGATATATCTTTTGCTTGTCTTCTTCTTGCGAACATAGTGGAACACTTGTATCTCCTTATTTGAAGCTCCCTTCAAAATAAAATCACTAATTGGTACTCACCACGAGTTGCTCCCCTTTGTTTCCCCTGGCGGGAAAGGTGTCGCCACCCTCTGGCCATGTGCTTCACTCTCTCCTTCTTAAGCCCAGTGAGCAGGATGTGAGAGCCTCGTGTCTCCTTACACACCATATCCTTTGATAATCTCTTAGTTTTACCTCTCTTAGGTTACTATAGAGGTATAGCTAGTATCCTTTACTAATTTGTATTGATTAATTATCATTATTTCTACTGTTTATTCACATGTATTGCGTGATTGTTCAGCTAGCGTTATCGTGATGAAAATCTGTACGATTTTTAGATTACGTTTTTCTGCCTCTGATCCATGTAATATGCCCTAGTTGTTCTACGCCCGTGTGCGTTTAATTCACGTTGCAGTTACTGCATTAATTTATCTCATTCTGCATTTAATAAATATCATCTTTGCGTCTTAAGGCGTGCTGCAGATAGGTCCGCAAACAAGGGCAAAACATGGCAGAGAGTCCAGATATTCCATCCAGTCAGCTGCTAGCGATCGACCCTCTCCGTCTGGTGTTCTGCTAGAGACCCCTGCGGCAGAGGAACGTGGGGCGCAGTCCGTTACCTCGAAGAAAGCGACCGGCCTCCCCAGACATCCCCGTCATCGCGAGACCAAGTCTAAGAGGGCCTCAAGCGTCGTCTCAACGCAGACTGAGGGACCCCCAGGGCAGCGCAGACTTCCAAAGGAAAATCTCACGAAGACAAGCGAGGGAACTTTCTCAGCCGAGATCGCTCCAGCAGCAGAATTGGGCCTCTACAATGATCAGCCGATAATCATCCCCTAACTTACGGCACAAGAAGCCGACCGGTGTCAGCGACTGTGACTTCTGCAGAGATCACCATGCAGCCTGATGCTTCTACACTGACGTCAGACGTTATTGATGTGGACCCCATCGCAGAGAAGACGCGCCCGGCGACTTCGTCACAGATCATCCCAGAAGACATGATGCGGCAAATTATGAACATCATGGAGGACCACTACAAACTGCAGAAGCAGGGTCCGAGCCAGCAGGAAGGCTCCAACGCAGACAGCACCCAGAGGAGCACCCCGTCAGCGTGAAGCAGCCAGGGCCGATGTCACCTTCGCGAAGGAAGTCCCGGACCACCTTGACGAAGGACCTAGATGTACAGCCTTCGGCGGGATAGATCATCACCATCTTCGATTTCATCTCTAGATATGGACTCGGACCATCAGACATCCGCGGAGGCCGCTGAGAGTCATATCGTCGATCCCCGGACCGGGCCGCGCAAATGAAGCTTCGCAAGGCATTTGCGAAGGACATATGATTCCAGATCTTCATCATCTAGAAGGACATCGAGGACTATAGAAGAGCTTCGTGAAGCTATCAACGTTAAAGCCTCACAAGTCTCTCGAGAAACTCATCCCATAGGCGATCTCCACGCCGTTCATCACCAGGTCGATCACCGTCAGATCTCCACATAGAAGCGGCACAAGTCAACTAGATCACCACAAGCCTCATGGGACATACAGACAGCTACGCGCAGTCCCCATTCGTTGCATCAACCATTGTTAATGATGATGGTATTGAGGATGATGGAGGAATCATTTTCTCGATGTAGAATCACGGTATTGGATGGTCAATAACCTAGATCTCTCATCACCATCTAAAAGTGGCAATACAAGCGCAGAGCGTATTTGATGAAGGGAAGACGATCCAGATCGATCACTCTACCCCCGATCGACCGATCGGCGGCAGTGCCACAGAATCTAGATGCAGCTTTTCAGAAAGCTACGAAAGTTCAGACACCACATTCTGCCCAACTTTCATGCTAAGAAGTTCTCCCGCGATAACATGGACTCCTTCTACAAGCCCAGGACATCGATGAGAACTATAAGATCATCAGCGATGTCAAGAACAAGATTTACAAGATGGATGATCGCAAGTTGGCTCATATAGAAACCATGACGAGACGTATGTTCTTTGGGTTAAATAGATCTAGGACGATCAATGAGACTCTTATCTCTAGATTCCGGGATTCCACAACGGAAGATGATAGAATGATTTATTCTGCCTTACTTATGCAAAAGAAAGATCAGCAGTTTTTAACGGATCATCTTACATCTGTTTCAGCAGCACTGACCTTAGTTCGTCGTCAAGGCCTCCTCGCTTCCTGCAATTGGGGAGAGAACTTTACAGCCCCACTTTATACAGCCCCACTTTATACAGCCCCACTTTATACAGCCCCGTGGTCGACAACATCCATCTTTGACGGAGAAATCGACAAAGTCGCCAAGGAAGTCTCTAAGGATTCCAGGGAAGTCCTTATGATCAAATCGATGGACACACTAGCCAGCGTCATTCGTCAGACTTCACAAAGATACTCAGGCAGATCTAAGTTCACGGGCCTACAAAGAGCAAGAGACAGGAAGATAGCCAGCTCTAGAGGTAAAGATTGTTTTGCATTAAGCCCATATGGCAACTATAGAGGAGGATCAGGAAGAGGCAGGACACCCAGAGGTTCCCGCTTAACTATACGCTGAAACACAGGTTCGGAACGACTGGAGTCTTCCACCCCAGCCGTTCCAGTACAGCCAGCACAAGTGGGTGGGCGCCTCCAACTACACTGGGAAAACTGGGGAATATTGCAAGACCCTTACGTCTCCAACATTCTTCAAGCACGGATTTCGTGATCCCTCTACAGGCCAAGCCTCGCTGACAATCAAACCCCCAGGTTCGATTTACAAGCCAACAACTACCAAAGATAAGAGAGGCTGTTTCATCACTCCTATCCAAACAGGCCATAGAAGTAATAGATCAAGCAAGCGTCGAACCAGGTTTCTACTCCCCAGTTTTCCTAGTTCCCAAGAAAAACTCCACGGAGAAATACAGACTCATATACAAACATGAGCTTTTCAACAAGAATTATCTACATAAACCATCGAAGTTTCAAGATGATACATTTACCTCAGTTACGCCAGGTGATTCGTCCTATGGACTACATGGGCAGCATAGATCTACAGGATGCCTACCTGCACATCCCCATTCATCCCGATTCCAGGAAATACCTACGGTTTACTCTAGAAGGGCTACATTACCAGTGGAAAGTACTCCCGACCGAATATCATCAGCCCCTGGCTATTCACGAGGATAACGAAACCGATTATCATCTTTCTACATCGTCAAGGGCTCGCGAGTCGCGTCTTTACCTCGACGACGGGATACAGGTAGATCAAGATCACAGCGTCTCAAACTACAGTTGAATTACATCATAAAGCTACTAACACAACTAGGATGGTTAGTAAACTTACATAAGTCGGACCTAGTACCATCGCCAAGACCTGCAGTTCCTAGGTATTCGATTCATCACAAATCGCGAACCGTGTCGTTGTACCAGAAGACCGTGGCTCAAGATACAACAGACCATTCCACCAGTTTCTACTCTCCGTTACCACTTCGACAATGACAGAGCCTACTAGGTCTTCTCACATCAGCCCAAGACATGACTGTCATAGGCAGATTACAGTTACGGCCCCTACAGGTTCTCATCAACGCACATCTCAACGATGTACAACCATTCAGTCTACCGAAACATCTCAGACCTCATCTACTATGGTGGACCAAGAAATCAATGTCTGGCGAAGGGGATTTGTTTAGCAGAGCAGGAATTCAAAACCCATCTATATGTAGACGCGTCACTCCAAGGTTGGGAGCTCATCTCACCAACCACACGATATCAGGATTATGGAATCAGCAAGAATGCAAACTCCATATTAACAGTCTAGAAATGAAAGCTGTAATCAACGCCATCCTACATTGCAGCACATTTCTACAAAATGCGTATCTAATGATCCATACAGACAATTCGACAGTGGTGCTTCTACATAAACAAGCAAGGCTCAACAAGATCGCTGAACCTTGAACCTAAGCTTTCCAACTGTTCGGGATTTAATACAAGATCTAAATCTACGATGTCAGAGCAGTTCACATTCCCGAGCCAGGAATATACTAGCAGACGCCTCTCTCAGCCTCATCTACCATCACCGGCTACAGAGTGGATGATCAACAGGGAAATATTTGCACAGATAATCAAGCAATTAGGAGCCCGCTTAATAGACCTATTCGCCACGATTCAACAATCAGCTACCGACATTCGTGTCACCAGTCCCAGACCCTCAAGCTTGGGCAACTGGACGGCTCTAAGTTTCCATCTTGGAAGAGCAGTCTCATGCGTGCAGCCGTTTCCGTACCAGCAATAATACCTCTCAAGAATTATTACAGAAAATCAGACAAACACAGAGCCTACAACTCACTTTGGTCAAAGCCCTACTGGCGTGCCAGAACGTAGTTTCCCATACTAATTCAAGAAATCTGTCAACCAGCACTGAGCTGCAAGCTAAGCAAACCTGTTAATTCATCCTCACACCAAACAAGTGCACGGAAACCCAGCAATGTTCCAACTAATACATCGTATGGACTGTATACAAATGTGTTTAACAAGAGAGGATATTCTGCCAGAGCAAAGCAGTCACGCCAACGCTTTACGTTACTCAACTCGCAACTTGTGCGAATGACAAGTGGCACAGTTTGAAAATTATGCAGCAAAGAAAGGTTTTACAGCGAGAAAGGCTTCACAGCCTCAGAGTGGCAGACTATTTGTGTTACCTGCGCCAAAACAAACATTTAAAAAGGTTCAACGATATCAACATATCTTGCCGGCTTAGTTCTGTAATCACCATGAGAACGGGTGTCAAGTTGACAAAATCTCCAGAGTTACTGGCCTTACTAATGACCTTCGATTGGAGGACCAAAAGAAGTTCCACGCCCCAGCTTGGGATCTGAATATAGTGTTACAACACCTCACGAGTGATGTTTATGAACCTTTGGAATCGCATTAACTTTTGAATTTTCTCACAGAAAACACTTTTTCTTACATCTCTAGCCAACGGCAGCTAGAATGTCTGAAATTCAATGCTCTAGATTACAGAGGATACAGTTTGATGACAATCATAACACTGGCGCGACCTCAGACTAAGATGGGATTTCATCCTAAAAATCAACTGCCAGGTCAACCAGACAGGTTATTCCCATATCCCGGCGCTATCCTCTATTCTCTGATCACAAGATACACAAGACCTATCACTGTGTCCAGTAAGAGCTTCAAAGTTTATTTACTGCATTTATCCAAAAACAACAAGGAGAAGATTTCTCAAACGTTTATTCATCCCCTTATAGCCTACTTAATCAAAAAAGGAAGTGTCAATGGACCACAATATCTATTTGGATAAGGACTGTCATTCTCCTCATGCCTACAAGGCAGCAGGTTGGACCTTCCACCAACAGCATCAAATCACATGAGATCAGAGCTCTACCTCCACCCTCAGCCTTCACGTAACTGTTCCTTGAACACGACATGGAAGGATGCTATTGGAAATCTAACATGGTATTTGCTAATCACTACCTGAGAGACATCACTACAGAAGATGTCTCTTGAGTATTCACCATTTCGACCACTGGTCCCCGCCAGCAACTGACAGTCCCTCGAGATGCTAAATATTACCCTCACAAGATTAATATGTATTATATACATTACTTATCTAGCTTATAACTCTACCGAGTTTTAGGGCTATGTATATATGTTCAGCTTAAGTTATTCAGCCTTAAGCTTATACTATAATATGTTCAATTTCAGTGCCTCTATCAGAGTCACTCTATATATATATATATTATATGTATTGTTCAATATATTAATAATGTAATTCCCTTTAATGGCTTTATATAACCTATGGTTTTTTAATACAGGAAACATCCTAAGTCTAAGCTCTTCATGAAGTTCCCGTGAGGGGATATATTACAGTATATCTATACAAAATCACTAATTATAAATCCAAAAAGTATTCCTGTTACTTCCCACTGCGTGTCATATTTCCCGGTAAGTTCAAAAATGTCTTCTTCCTCACATAATAGAAGTTTAGATCCATAAATGCCATTCAAAGACCTTGTGTTTTTACATTGTCAGAAATGAAGTTTTTTTCAAATATTGTTTATGATTTTCTATTTTTCTTTGGGTAAATTTAGATTTTTAGTGAGAGTGTCCTACTTGGAGATCTACAATGAGGAAGTGAGGGACTTGCTGGGGAAAGACCAGGAACACAGACTGGAGGTGGGTAGGTTTGACAGCCAGGGAAATTCTCATACCATGCTCATTACCTATCTATTTTCAGGAACTTATTTTCAAAAAGTAGTTCATTTAGTATTATGATAATTCTTAAGTTCAATTTGGCCAGAGGACAGGATACCTCTTGGCAAGACTTTGACAAGTTTAGTCAGAAATCTTACTTCAAATTGACATGATTGAAACTTGTGTTTGATTGTTTGATTGCTGCTGTTTGCCACAGGTCAAGGAACGTCCCGATGTTGGTGTGTATGTGAAAGACCTTTCGGCTTTCGTAGTGAGCAATGCAGATGACATGGACCGAATTATGACGCTCGGCAACAAAAACAGTGAGTTCTAGTTTTATCTCTTATAGGGCTGTAGGATAGTGGGGTGAAGCTTTTTTACTCATCAAAAAGAAGGCGATGGTTTAGATTCCAAATGAGGATTATACGGGGATGTTGCTTGCATTGGCATATAACTCAACTTACTTTCTGCCATAAATTATAGGGTATGGTGCACAATTTTTTTACAAACCCAAGGTATAAGAAAAGGAGTTTAGCCAATTGCTAAACCAATGGTCTTTGAAAATATTTTGCAGGGATGGTTGTTTACAGATATGGATGACAAGTGAAATTTTAGAAAAAAATTTGATAACAAAGCTCATACACACTACTTTGGAAGCTTTCATTATGTTTCTGAATTCCCAATGTTAATGTCTGAAAGAAATGTGATTCTAGATTCTGTTTATATAACTATGAAACACTTTACTTGCCTGAGCAGGTTCATCTAACGTCAACAATACATATCACGATACGAAAAAAGTATCGATATATTTATCGTCAGATAAAGTATCACGATTATCGATACTACGATATATCGTCACAGCTCTATTCCCTGGGTTGTTTATTATACTTTGTTTGTCTCCAGGGGTTGTAGGCAGCACCAACATGAACCAGCACAGCTCCAGGTCCCATGCCATCTTCACTGTCACCATCGAGTGCAGTGAGAAGGGAGCAGACGGACAACAGCATGTCCGTGTTGGGAAACTTCACCTTGTTGATTTAGCTGTAAGTTGAAGATTTATGCCTGAAAACAATGGTTTGGGGGCATTTTCAGTAAAAAGAAAGATGTTGCTGTTACACATCCAAAAGGCAGTTTCTAAGTTTTAACTGTGTAAGATTTTTGTGAGGTAAGATGTTTGTGAGGTAAGATGTTTGTGAGGTTAGATGTTTTGTTGGGAATAACCTTTAACGTATTTAGAATTCAAAGTTAATTCAAACAGGGGGGACCAAAGAAAGGAATACAATTTGTTGTGGAAGCTGATGAAAGCAGTGCAAATGTTTGATGATTATTTCGTGATTATTTATATGAACTGACGTAATACTTCTTAATTTTGTGTTTCTAACCGAAGTTGTCCAAGAATGTTAAACCTTTTGAACATAACATTGACATCGTCACAAGATAGACGTAGAGACTCAGACTAGGCAAGGGAGGTAATTCATTGTTTTACCACATTATCTCCCTTAGTATTTCACACAACACGCAATTTCTACATTTGAATCCTGATGTATGAAGTGTATTATCATTTTCAGGGTTCTGAGAGACAGTCCAAAACAGGCGCCACTGGTCAGCGCCTGAAGGAGGCTACGAAGATCAACCTGTCTCTTTCCACTCTGGGAAATGTTATTTCTGCACTTGTAGATGGAAAGAGTAGTCACATCCCCTACAGGAACTCCAAACTGACACGACTACTCCAGGATTCTCTCGGAGGAAACTCAAAAACTGTCATGGTATGTCCCAGTCCTGTTACAATTCACTCGCATATTCGGTGTAGCAGGATGACCGCACAGCCGATGACTACACAGACAGTGTTTAAATGACTGGTACTGTACATGTCATGAATTTTCTTAAATCCAAACAAACTTTTTTTCAAACCGAACTGTCTTGCAGGTGGCCAACATCGGCCCAGCTGACTACAACTATGATGAGAGTATCAGCACCCTCAGATATGCCAACAGAGCCAAGAACATCAAGAACAGAGCCAAGATCAATGAAGATCCCAAGGATGCATTGCTGAGACAGTTCCAGAAGGAGATTGATGAACTACGTAAACAGCTGGAGGATGGTAGGCTGCTGTTTATTCTCTGAGGATTTAATGTGATATGAATCTTGAACTGGCTCGTTTAATTACTTGTTATATCAGACTTAGTTTCATTTGTTTCTATTGCCACAATCTTGACAATTGAATTGATGCTCACTTCATCAACCTCATGTTTGTCTGGCGTAAACCTCAGAGAATATGTTGGGTGCCAAGATTTGTTTGTGTTGCTCTATGCTATTTTGTAGTGCTGGAACGATTGATCAGTAATCAGTCAATTGATTGATCTTGCTTGTGTCAGCAATGAACTTGGGAGACTAATCGATATGTATAAAAGCTGAAAAATAACATTAAACTTCAGAAAGTTTCTTTTTGTTTGTTTCCTGTCTCATAAAACTGCATTGTAAACAACTCTCGTGTGTGTCTCAGTGTAAAGTATCCTCGATTGTCTTGATCGTGCTCTTTATCGATTGATGTTACGATTGTGTCCCGTTATTGCCCACATGGGTTTGTGATGGGATTTATGATTACAATCGATTATTGATCGATTACTCAGCTCCGATAATCAATCTGATTATTGCGATAACCAGCACTAATATTTTGCGGTGTACGGCATACACTACGACATACACTCACCAGCTAGCTGTCACAGAGTATAATTCATTGGTCGGCAGGTGTGACAGATGAGGAGGGGGGAAAGTGAGGATGATTCGGAGGACGATGACGGGGAGCCTAGTGAAGGAGGAACAAGGCGAAGGCGGAAGAAGAGAGGTATGTTTTCCTATCTTCATTATTACATCATATTCATATTTCGGCCGATCTGGTCAGCGCAAAGAAGCTCAAGTGGCCTAATTGTATAGGGTCCATCAGTTTAAAGTGCTGATTTTCAATTATTTAGACTTGTGATTAAGCTGAAACTGTTTTCTTCACTGAATTACTGTCCGAACAAAAGTTAGACAAATCTCTCATGTAATTTAACTTAAATTTGTTTCATCTTCCTGCAATGATGATCTCAAACCTATAGGCTCCGAAAGCTCAGATGGTGAAAGTATGTGTGGATACCACGATCATCCAGATGACATTGTTCAGACAAAACCGCCTCCGTGGTGTAGTGGTTAGAGCGTCCGCCCGGAGAGCGGAAGGTCGCGGGTTCGATCCCCGACCGCGTCATACCAAAAGATGCTAAAATATGGTACTTGTTGGTCCCTGCCTGACGCTTGGCATTAGTGGGTACAACAAGGCCTGGTCGGCTCGGAGTCAGTATAATGTGTCTGAGTGGGGTATTCATGTTTCACTGCGGCATGGTATCTCAGTGGACTAGCACTATAAAACCAGCTTCAGTCTGGGCTAGTACAAGCAGCCGCACATACACATACACACACATGCACGTCGTCTAATGAGCGAAATATTCTTAAGCACGACGATAAACCCAATTTCACCTCACCTTGTTCAGACAAATACTCTCAGAAGTTGTTTGCACATGCTGCAGTTACAATATGCAATTTTGATGTGCCAGTTACAATTTTGGGCTGAAAATTTCACTTTTAGTTTACACTTTCCACTTGCAGACAAGGAACAAATTGCATTTACACAGAAACCAGCTTTGCACCCAAAACATTACCCTGACTTTCTGAAAAGATTGAGTTTATAAGTATCAACTGATGAATTTGTACCAGTGAAACGACATGTTTCTCTTAATTCTCTTAATGAAAATGTTCAATTTAAAACCTGCCACATGCTACTGTTGACATAGGTAACGTTAACATGTTAACATTAAATTACACTTTTATACTTTGTTAACTACTCCAAAGCTTTGACTGGGGTTGGTATCTCAAAGTAATGGTTACAATGAATGCCAGGTCTCTCATATGTGTAGGATTATTTGTAGTTCATATTTATTCTGTTACCATGGTAACACCCTTTTATCTACTTGTCCATGCTGCTCAGGTGGAGATGCAAGTGAGTATTTACACAGGAATGTCTCCAGTTTAGATGGCATGAGGGATGGTTTGGTGACGTGTAAATATCGTAGATTTATTCAACCATTAAAGTGCATGTAGTTTCAGTTGGGACATGTACAATGGCATTCTCTTCCCACAGAGGTTACTTGTCATGTCTTCCTACGAACCTCTGTTCTTATACGGCCATATTTCCCGGTTCTCGTAAAATCCCCTAGCGGCAAAAGATCGCAACACGAATTATCTCCCTTCTTTCTATCCAATCAGAACACGTGTTACATCGACTTAGATCCAACTTGACTAACACAAGCAAATGTGGGGCCACAAATATCCCCCATCTGCCGGGGACTTGTGTTGATATTTCACACAAGACGTTTAATGGCTAGCTTGTCCGTTGTCAACGAGGGTGATGGAGACGCCACTGATCCGCCATAACATGACTGAGTTCTGTCTAGAAGAAACGTTTGCGCATTGCGCAGGGGAAGAGGTATATTTTTCTCGAAGCATACGGAAATTACCGAGGCCTTGCAAATGATCACTTTTGAAACAACGTCGCTGATTGCACAACTAAATCTGATTGCCTCCAATCACGAGTCTTGAACGCTCACACCATGAAAGGGCCGTATTAGAACAGAGGTTACGTAGGAAGATATGACAGAAGTAACCTCTGTGGGAAGAGAATGGTACAATGGAGAAAGTATGTTGAAAATATTAGCTGTTTGGTACACAGATTTTGGTGAAGTGCTGTCTTTTTTACAATGAGAATCAATTCGTTTGTGTTAACCTGATGTATACAAGCTTCATATGAAGTAGTTTGAATGTCATATTATAGAAAATAACAACATAACATTTGACCATTTGGTGGATTGTTGATGAACAACATTTTCTGTTTCACTGCCTTGAGAGTGAAGTTTGTTTGCCTTTGAAGAAAAAACTACAAAATGAATTTTCTCTTTCATTACATTTTCTGAAAAAAAGGATGAGAATGTAATAGTTTATTGTAGCCTCATGTGTAGGAGTTTATTTATGATTGTGATGGGTGTGTGTTTGGTAGTGTCTGTTCTGTGGATAGAAAGTATTGTGTTCACACTTTGGGAGGTGGTTCTGATAAGATGTACTTCTGTTAGACATCAAATATATCTGTTTTGCATTGTGTTGTGTGAATTAGATTAATGTTTTATCATTCAGTAAAGGATAAGCATGGTCAGATTCCCAAGGTATCCCATACATCAGTGCCCATAGAGTAACGCCACACATTCCCAGACCTTAAGGCCTATGGGATGATTGCATGTCTCAATGCCTGCTCATGCCGGGGTGATTATCTCCCTTGTAACATTACATGTGTCATATTGTAGAGCATCATCACTACTTTGTGGGTGTATATATACCCTGTATCTTCCATCACCTGTCATACTGGGCCAATATGAGGTGTTGTGGTATCATGAGTCCTTGTTTTCCACTAATGATCCCTTCCCCATGGGTGGACTTTGTGTGAACCCTGCCACCGCCAAAAATTGAAGCACTTTGTGGAGAAAATACCACTATGCTGTGAAACATGTAGGCATACTAGTATATTGCCCCGGCTATTTTCCACATAATTCCCCTGGACATTTCTCTCCCCCACAATTTGCCTAGCAAGGAAATGATCCATGGGTCATGGGTAGTTGGCCAGGGAGAGGGGAATAGGTCTCATCCACTGGATCTAAGACATTTCTTGATTCTTTGGTTAATACTAGCAGCAACACTGCAATTTTTCTTTATGTATTGTCAGCTGATGGAGGAACATAGGTGTATACAAACCCATGAAGTATTGAAGATGGCTGTAGAGTAGTTGACACATTTCATGGTCCCCTTGACAACATGATTTGGGGAATCAGGGATAGAATAGGTCCCCAGCAACCTGTACTGGTCCTGCTGTAGGGATTCAGGGTTAGAATAGGTCCCCAGCAGCCTGTGCTGGTCCTACTGTGGGGAATCAGGGTTAGAATAGATGCCCAGCAACCTGTGCTGGTCCTACGGTGGGGATTCAGGGTTAGAATAGGTTAACAGCAACCTGCGCTGGTCCTACTGTGGGGGTTCAGGGATAGAATAGGTCCCCACTAACCTGTGCTGGTCCTGCTGTGGGGATTCACGGATAGAATAGGTCCCCAGCAACCTGTGCTGGTCCTACTGTGGGGATTCAGGGTTAGAATAGATCCCAGCAACCTGTGCTGATTCTAAGAGTAACTAAATTATTCAGGATTGTCAGACTCAGTGACTTGGGTGATAGCCTGTCCTCACACTCCAATGGGATCAATGCTCTCAGTATCAATCACTGTATTTTCTAGCCATACAAACAAACCTGATGACTTTTTCTGGAGCTTTTTAGGCTTCAGTCACAGCATTGAAAAGAGGTTCTCTTATTTATTCTACTTGGAATAAGAACTGCCATCAGTAGTCCATGTTACTGTAAATGCTTCCGGAATGTGAATAATATGTAATTGATGACATTTCCCACTTTTACAGAAAGACGAGGAGATCAACGTGTCCCATTGTGGTCCTAGTTTCTCTTCATGATGTGTGCGTAACAGCAATCTAAGCATACACTGTGTTGAAAGGAAGTCAGTCTAAAAAGATTTAGAAGTTGTAATTTTGTTAGCTAACTGTAATTTTTTTCATTTCACTAACGCCAGTAGCTGCTGTCACCTTTCGGTCATTGGCCTCGATTCAGCTTAATAGTTGATCATATATGTATGTGGTTGTCTGGCTGTAGGTGGGCAAGAAGCTGCCCAAGCGAGAAGATGGTGGAGATCCAGGCCCCTGATCGAGCAGGACCGGCCGGGCTGCTGGAGTCAAAGAAAGACATGGCCCATATATGTCAAAGTGAAGATAACTGGCAGAAGAAAGAGCTCTGAGCTCAAGAAATACCAGTGAGTCCGACAGCCCCTCTTCTGCGCCCGGAAATGACGATTCCCCTTACTTCGATTTCTTTTAGTGGATCCTATCATGTTCATTTCGGATGGTTGTCAGACATTTTGGATAAGATTGTGCCCTTTAACCCAAGCTGGACACGCGGATTCGGAGGTTCTGATTGAAAATGGGTGAGTTCAAAAGGCAGATTAGGTGGCTAATCAGACTGAACTGATAATGTGTCTATCCCAACTATGTAGATATATGGAAATCATTAGATAAACAAATGTCTTAGGCTGAGAAATAAACAAATGCTTAGGCTGAGAAATAAGGACTGGATCATCTTTTTTTCTACCCTCATAGGCATACTTATGTCTCGAATACATCGATAAGTCGAATTTATTACTTGGTCCCCAGCGATTCGACTCATCGGGATTTGACTGTAGGTGTATACAAACCCATGATGTATTGATGATGGTTGTAGAGTAGTTGACACATTTCATGGTCCCCTTGACAACATGATTTGGGGATTCAGGGTTAGAATAGATCCCAGCAACCTGTGCTGGTCCTGCTGTGGGGATTCAGGGTTAGAATAGGTCGCCAGCAACATGTACTGGTCCTGCTGTGGGGATTCAGGGTTAGAATAGATCCCCAGCAACATGTACTGGTCCTACTGTGGGGATTCAGGGTTAGAATAGGTCCCCAGCAACCCGTGCTGGTCCTACTGTGGGGATTCAGGGTTAAAATAGGTCCCCAGTAACCTGTGCTGGTCCTACTGTGGGGATTCAGGGTTAGAATAGGTCCCCAGCAACCTGTACTGGTCCTGCTGTGGGGATTCAGGGTTAGAATAGGTCGCCAGTAACCTGTACTGGTCCTGCTGTGGGGATTCAGGGTTAGAATAGGTCCCCAGCAACCCGTGCTGGTCCTACTGTGGGGATTCAGGGTTAAAATAGGTCCCCAGTAACCTGTGCTGGTCCTACTGTGGGGATTCAGGGTTAGAATAGGTCCCCAGTAACCTGTACTGGTCCTGCTGTGGGGATTCAGGCTTAGAATAGGTCCCAAGCAACCTGTGCTGGTCCTACTGTGGGGATTCAGGGTTAGAATAGATCCCCAGCAACATGTGCTGGTCCTACTGTAGCAGCTATGCTGCTCCTTCACTGTGGAACAGTCTTCGCATAACCATCAAAACAGCAACCTCCCTCATTGAAGACCCATCTTTTCAGGAAATATTACGAGTGACTTCTACAATTGCTGCATTTATTTAGCTGTACACATGGGGCACCATGAACATACACTAGTGTGTAGAAACGGCGCCATACAAATGGACATTATATTATTATTATTATTATTACTGTTGGGATTCAGGGTTAGAATAGGTCCCCAGCAACCTGTGCTGGTCCTACTGTGGGGATTCAGGGTTAGAATAGATCCCAGCAACCTGTGCTGATTCTAAGAGTAACTAAATTATTCAGGATTGTCAGACTCAGTGACTTGGGTGATAGCCTGTCCTCACACTCCAATGGGATCAATGCTCTCAGTATCAATCACTGTATTTTCTAGCCATACAAACAAACCTGATGACTTTTTCTGGAGCTTTTTAGGCTTCAGTCACAGCATTGAAAAGAGGTTCTCTTATTTATTCTACTTGGAATAAGAACTGCCATCAGTAGTCCATGTTACTTAAATGCTTCGGAATGAATAATATGTATTGATGACATTCCCATTTTACAGAAAGAAGAGAGATCAACGTGTCCCATTGTGTTCTAGTTTTCTTTCATGATGTGCTAAATACAAAGCATGTACATGTGTTGAAAGGAGTAGTTGAAGTCTTTAAAAGATTTATCTGCTTTTGTAATTTTTGTTAGCTAACTGTAATTTTTTTCATTTCACTCATACGCTAGTATCCTGTCACATTGGTTGTGGCCTCGATTCAGCGAATAGTTGATATATATGTATGTGGTTGTCTGCTGTAGGTGGCAAGAAGCTGTCCAAGGAGAAGATGGTGGAGATCCAGGCCCGCATCGAGCAGGACCGTCGGCTGCTGGAGTCAAAGAAAGACATGGCCGAGGAGGAGAGGAACAAAGTGAAGATGGACCTGGAGAAGAAAGAGTCTGAGCTCAAGAAATACCAGTGAGTCCACAGCTTGTTGAAATGACAGATTCCCTTACTGATTTCTAGTGATCCTATCATGTTCATTGATGGTTGTCAGACATTTTGGATAAGATTGTGCCCATAACCTGCTGACACGTGATTCGAGGTTCTGATTGAAAATATATTTGTGGGTATTTCTGGTTAGAATAACAGGTGGTTTAATGGAGTGACAGTTGATAATGTGTCTATCCCAACTATGTAGATCGATGCTCATGCTGTTGATCACTGGATTGTCTGGTTGGTCCAGATTCGATTATTTACAGACCGCCACCATAGCTGGAATAGTGCTGAGTGCGGCGTTAAACAACAAACAATCAACTCATTCAAATGATAATGTGTCATTGTACCCTGAGGATGTGGATTGTTGTTCATAATGTCAGTCACTGGTTTGTTGGGTCCACACTGGTATAGGGTATGCCATCAACAATAATAATATTAAGTCAACCTCTCAGGGGAAATATAAGTCTTGCTTGTTTGCCTGAAGAAGTCATCCCAAACTGATGAGGGAACTTAGTTTGGAATCTTGGATAACTTTTGTGGTGTACCCATTCTTAAGTTTTGACTATTTTCTAATGAAGCTTTAAAATGAATTTCTTGTCTGTCTGTCTGACAGAGAAGAGCAGGACCAGCTAACCCAGAAACTGTCAGCCATTGAGAAGAAGATCATCGTTGGTGGGGAAAACCTGCTGGAGAAGGCCGAGGAGCAAGAGCGTCTCCTCGAAGAGAGTGCCCGGGAACTGGATGAGAGGAAGGAGGCTGAGGACACCCTGCGTAAGCAGCTGGAGGAGAAGGAGGTGAGAGGAAGCTTCTGCTGCAGTAACTTATGGTGCTCATTTTGGAGCACTGACATCCCTTCTAATATGAATCATTAGCGTTTTTTAGGCTTTAGTCCATTGTGATCACAAATTGGGCAAGTGTCTTTGATTATGGTGTAAATGTTGGTAAGTCAAGAGGGTACAGTGAATACAGTCTTCTACCACCAAATGGGCAGCTTGGCTTGTAAAACTTGGATCCTCCCCAGGAAGTTCAGAATGATGCATGCCCTGCACTGATCTGTTGACTGGTGTAATGAGGTGTGTAGTCTGACACTAACCTTATGCTAAATAGCTTCGTGCCCGCTGACTGTGGCCAGCAAATCTTCTGTCCCTGAAATATCCTATCAATACTGATTTCTGAAATTTTAGCAGAAATGGTTTTATGCACCCCTTGCTGATCAGAATATAAAAGTTATCCGTTTCTGTAGATCAATATTGTGTATTCAGTATTTCAAGACTATTTCACACACAGTAAGTAAGTCTGTCAGGAAGGGGCCATTCATTATTTATGGCTGGTTGGTGGGAGCTTTTGATGATTTGGGGAGGGGGGGAAGATCAGCAATTTTGTCCATAAAGTAATATTTTTTTAAATTGATTTTGTACATGACATGCAGGGGGGGTCGCTAACTTTGTGCATAAATTTTTTTGGGAGGGTGTCATTCACATTGTACATGCTTCTCCATAAAAATCATCATCATCCCCCAATAAATTATGAACGGTCCCTAATGAGATGGTTTATGTTACAGCAAGAGCGGCTGGACATCGAGGAGAAGTACTCCAACCTCCAGGAGGAGGCACAGGGCAAGTCTCGCAAGCTGAAGAAAGTCTGGACCATGTTAATGCAGGCCAAGTCAGAGGTCGGTCATTATCTGGAAAGTCATCAGCCTTAACATCATGTGTTAACTTTCACTTTATTGTGAAAATAAATCGTGATGTTTCACCATTTCTTGTCACCTTTCCTTAACAGAATGTCAAGTGTGTTGTGTGTAATGTGTGTCTGTGGTGAGGTTTTGTAATACTTAATGTGTGTATTATGTAATGTGAGTGTTGATATGGTGTGTGTGTGTTTGCGTGTGTCAGTGTAATACAGTCAGGCCGCGGTCCTCGTTAATCCCGAATCCACCGACTTCCGAACGCTACTCACTGGGCACCAAATCATCTCCCTGTATATTGTATATAATTGACACCTCGTTAATCCGATGATTCAGTTTCCGCCTCCGAACGCTGGTCAGTCGGAACGGATTGGACTAATTACGTTGTAAACAGCTGCGTTAATCCAAACGATTGAAGTTGACCGCGCTGCTGACTGGTCCACCCAAAGTGACACGTTGTTTGTTTAGCGACTTAGCGACTCGGACACATGCTTCGGCAGCGGGTCCACAATAACATTGTCAAAGAGCAAAAGTAACGATGTTTCGAGGAATTCATTAAATAAATTCAGTAAACTAATGAATAAAATCAACAAAATATATACATGAAGCAGTTTTGTAACAGGTCATAACCCACCCACGACACGTCCAATAAGTTCCATAATTTACGTGATAGGTAGCGCATTTTGCTTAATATGTTCAAAATAGCATTATTTTACCCAAAACCTTCATCTAAATCTAAAAGTTTTCGTTTACCAGGACGGTATCCATTACCGTAATATGATTGGCTGCCTTAGGTCACGTGTCTGATTTTGACCAATCACGGCCCTTATAGCAGACTGTAGTGAAAAAGCGTCATGAGAAACCAATTTGTATCCAATAAAATCGCTTCTTACAACTGTGAAAATACTCGCAAGGGTTCAGTGATGTTGTTCATGTTCCAGAGCTTTAACGATACCGACATCAAATGATTCGGCCTCCCATGTTATTCATAACGATGCTTTGAAAACGCAGGTATTTTCCGTTGTTATGTCATGTTACCGAGCCGGAATCCGCATGATATCGGGAAATAGGCGACCATACATATTATTTAAGAAATCTTTTTATAATAATTTTTCTGATGACGTAAAATGAAAATATAAAAGAAAAAGGCACGGGCATGTTATGACATGTCACAAATGGAAAAAAATCGCCATAGTTTTTGCTTCTTTCGTGGTTTATCTGGACGTTATAAATGTAAGCTTGCATTTTCATTCAAAAATAATTTTATTTAAGTTGTAGTTGTATCAAGGGGACGTAACTCGGTGCATATACTGTGGTTTCAGCAGTACGAACGTTTCACTATCCGAACGGGTTTTTTTAAAAACCAAAGTGTTCGTATTAACGAGGTGTGACTGTACATAATGTGTGTGTGTGTGTGTGTGTGTGTGTGTGATTTATGTAATATGTTTGTGTGTAACATGAAATGTATGTGTAATGTTTGTGCGTGTGTTTCAGCTGGCAGACATGCAGCAGGAACACCAGAGGGAGATGGAAGGACTCCTGGAAAATGTCCGCCAACTGAGTCGAGAACTCAAACTTCACATGACCATCATCGACAGCTTTATCCCAGCCGAATACCAGGTCAGCAGCCTTCATTGGTGATACTGTTATAGTGCTTGTGGTTGTATTGATCTTTCACTGATTGCAGCAATATTCCAGCTACCGTATATGACCGTCTATAAGAAGACCCCATGGATAAGACGACCCCCAAACTTGACCCTTAAAATCAGTGTCAAAATGGTATGTTTCGTGCATATGTCGATCCCCCGCGATGGGGTCCTAATTGCGGCAAACACAGACCACAGACAACTGGCAGTTACCAATAATTATAACTTTGGTCCACATTATTCAAAGAATTCACGGTCATATATATTGTGTCTTCTCATGGATCGAAACGAAGTGTAGTTGACAGAAAATGCATAATATATTTTGCTTCTCTAAATATCATATTTATTGTAGCAACAAACTGGCTTGCTTATTTTACCCCATTCAACAATCACGAACTGATTACCGCCTCGTTTTCTATTGACTGCTAGTTTACAGTTACATCGGTAAAAATGTGTGAATTTAAATGGCTTCCGTATTTTACCCCATTCCATGTGCTTACCATGTTCATGAGGGTCCGTATAACGTTAGTGTTGATTATATAAATTTTATAAAAAACTGTAAATAAAATTACACAATGCTAGGATGTATTTCTTTGGGTTAAATAATAGTATTCTGTATTATATTTTACTGACGACTGCGTCAGAATTCATCCCGTTATATTATTGTGCATGTTTGAACTTGTTCGCCAGGAAAGCGTGTGCACAGCTGATTGCTATTGCAGTCATATGTATTAGGCTAGCATGTAAATAATCCATTCAGGAGCAGACAACCAGTGGTTGATGTTATGAACACACAATAGTCAACTACAAGCAGTCAGTCACGGAACATAACCGCCAGTGCTTGGGACATACTGTTGTTGTTTGTTTGTTTGTTGTTTGATGCTGCACTCAGCAGTTTTCCAGCTGTATGGCAGCAGTCTGGACCAAACAATACAGTGATTGACATCATGAGCATCGATCTACGCAATTGGGATACGATGATAATCAGATATGTGTCAACCAAGTCAGCAAGCCAGACCACCCGATCCCGTTAGTCACCTCTTACAACAAGCATGGGTTGCTGAAGACCATTTTTAACAGATTTTCATGAGTATACTGTTTGTAGAGCCACACTCCCACTATCATTACACCTCCATGTAAGGAAAATTGTTATATGACATCTTCCTGTAAAATCAAGTCTTGGGATAAGAAAATCCACAGGGACAGATAATCCATACTTTGATTTTTTTTCTTTCAGGAAATGATAGAGCAGCACGTCCATTGGAACGATGACATTGGCGAGTGGCAGCTGCGGTGTGTGGCCTACACCGGCAACAACATGAGAAAACAGACACCACAGCCAGAGAAGGAGAAGGAAAAGGTCAGTAGTGCTAGCTATCTGTGGGGCGTAGTGCTACAGCTGGCAGTCTTGTTGGACAGGAACAGGGATGGCAATTTTCCGCTGATCTGCATATTTCCGCAGATGTTATTTAGATTGTTCAATAGTGAATCGTCTAAATCCATTGAGAAACCCTCAAAACTCGATGACACAATATTAAGTTTGCCACTAAAAATAGATTTTCCTGTTGCCATCCCTGCAGGAATGGGAGGACGTAGTGTGAGGTGAAGTGAGGTGAAATTGGGTTTAACGTCGTGCTTGAAAATATTCCGCTCATATGACGACATGCATGCGTGTGTATGTGTATGTGCGGCTGCTTGTACTAGCCCAGACTTAAGCTGGTTTTATAGTGCTAGTCCACTGAGATACCATGCCGCAGTGAAGCATGAATACCCCACTCAGACACATTATACTGACTCTGAGCTGACCAGTCCTTGTTGTACCCATTAATGCCGAGCGCCAGGCAGGGACCAACAAGTACCATATTTTAACGTCTTTTGGTATGACACGGTCGGGGATCGAACCCGCGACCTTCCGCTCTCCGGGCGGACGCTCTAACCACTATACCACGGAGGCGGTCGAGGATGTAATGTACTTAGCCTAAGTTATCAATAATGAACTCAGCAAAAGAACACATTGCAAGATGGATGATGTGGTTAGAATATGTGACAGTATATGGAGCTGGATTACGTCAGTATTTGTATATATTGGGATGAACACATACTAACTATAAACAAACTCATGTACATGTCAACAACAGTTTTGTTTCTCTAGATATCCAAATAGTGAACTAGACAGACAATATGCACTGTAAATATGTGACATACATACCTACCAGCCATGTGGACGTTCGTCCATACCAAATACTGCACAAGGTATCCATTGACTGACAATCTTCTGTGACTACAGTTCCAGGAAGTGGACTTGTCCCACGTGTATCTCGCCTACACAGCAGAAGGTGCTGCAGAGGCCATGAGGCCAAAAACTGCAAGATCTAAATCTGGAAGACCCAAAACTGCCAACAGGCCAAAAAGTTCAAAGAAGTAAGTAATGGATAAAAAATTCAAGAGATGGTATGATCATCATTGGTTTGAAACCAAGATTCCCTGACTTCATCCTAGGATTGTGTACACCATAGCTGAGGGGTTTGACTGGAGAGGCAGACGTCTACTTTCTGAACCCGTTTGGGCTTTCTTCCCATGATGAACAGGCATGATATGGCTGAAATACTGTCCAAAGCTGTGTCAGGGTGCTTGGTAGCCTAATGGTTTAAGTGTTTGCTCATCATGCTTGAGGTATGGGTTCATGTCCCTAAAGGGTACCCTGTGTGAAACCCACCCTGGTGTCACTAGCTGTAGTATTGCTAGAATATTGGGTCAATCTCACTCAATGACACTTCAAGTCATGCACTTCATGCTGTTTGTCTAATAATGAGCAAAATGAATTAACTAAATATCGGGAATAGTCTAGTAAATGTCAATATGGTACATGGCAATGAATACCCTGTGCCCAACAATATCTGTACTTTACTGAGAAAGTGTAATCCCAATTATAACATGTTACATTTGACCACTGTCTAAGATGGCATTATTTTCAGAATATAACTGCACCTCCTGTTCTAAAGCATTGGTTTTACATTAGACTAACTTTCCATTGCAGGAAGCGAAAGGAAAACGAACTGGAGACATTGCTCCAGTGACTATTGTCAGGGGCATTCGCCCTGGCTGTGTTCAAGGCAGTGTTGCTATGGGAACAGTTCCAGGAGAATGCCTTTAGCCACAGTTCTGGCGCACTGAAACCCACCAGCCAGACTGCAGTACACATGGAACAGCGGTTCCTGACGCGGCTGGATCTCCATGACAACACCTCTGGCCAATGTTTACTGTGATAACTTGCTTACGTCATGCACCAGTCATCAAATCACCAGAACATCTTCATGTTGTCCGATTCCGTTGTGGCATTTATCCATATACCTTTTTTATGACTTTTAACTTACGACTGTGTATGTAGCTATGATAAAAGACAAGACTGATTACAGTCTGTGTCTAGAACCTGAGGCTCACTGTCTTAAATTGTTAACTAAAGTGATAACAAAATAATGTTAATGTTAACAAAATTACAACCATATGTCTGCATGCATCTATACCACCCAACCAATGAGGTGTTGTAGCATTGTATTTCAAAGGTCAAGGTCATGTTTGAAGTTGTTATGAAACATGGTTGGAACATCCATGACCAGTTTTAGTCACACTTTGATTTGTACAATCCTTAGGTACATTAAGATGTTCAAGTGATGATTTTCATTGTCCTCAAAGGACTGGAAGTACATGGTTGTCTTTTGACACTTAAGCTTTGAGGAAATGATACTCACTTGACTGTTGTTGTTTTTTAAAGTATTTGAAAACCACTCTAGTTTCCCAGCAGAGTGGCTTGCAAAGTGAAATGGTTCTGATCCAGACTTCAGAAATATTTCAGGTGTTGCACTGCTGATCTGTAAACATTGGAGGCAAACATTTGCAAATTATCTCCCCTTTGCCATCATGTGACATGCACGTTTGGCCTGAGTATGTTTCTTGTTTCAATGAACTCAACACTAGCTCTGACGGCTACCAAGGAAACGAGAACGAGATTCACGTGTAGATGAGCATAGTTGATGATTATCATGAACATATCCTTGTGATAAATATCTTTCATTTCTGTCAGGGATTAAGTCCCATTTTCACTAACTTACTCCCTCTAGGATATCACTTTATTAACCTTGAAAATGTTTTGGGGGTTGTTTTTTTCTGTTCAGTATTAAATATTATCTGCTATTCAGTATTAAAGATTATCTCAGTTGAAAGATCTGAATTAGTGTCTCATGATCTACAGGAACTCAGCTGCACATTTGAGTAATAGAAAGGTGTGAGGAGCATGTGATGTGTTACCATGGTTACACAGGGACTGGATCAATATGGTTATTTAACTTCCTTGTTATGCACACTGTTCACATGGGTAGATGTAGTTTTCTCAACAGCTTTCACCTTGGAAATTGTTGTTTTACAGATCTGTTGTAAATGGCAGTTATATCAATTATTTTTGTTTGTACATTTTGAAAGCATAACTTGTTATAGAAATAAACTTTGTGTTAATGAATTATTTTGAATTCAAAATTCTGATTTGATTCAGCTGTCTCAAGTAATAATGAAATTCCTTTGTTATCATGTTTACTATCTGATGACAGACATATTGTACTTGTAGTATTTCTGCAATAGGAATGCTTCATTTGAACAACAGAAACATCACTTCGAATCCATTTCTATATCAAAATTAAGATTCGTGTGTCATTATTATGAGAGAATTTCAAATATATTCTAATGGCGTTACAAAAATGATGTATTAGGTAGAATACATATTTGCATGCCATCAGAATGACGAGAATTTAGAACAGATTCTAATCTGTTAATGTTGGTGCAAAAATGTCACATTATTCATAGTGTTGATGCCTGATTAATATGATATGAATTTCTGTGGTTTAGGCAATGTTAAGTCAACTGCAACTCTTGGTTTTCTGGCACCTGATGAAAGCAATAGTTGAACTAATTTATTAGTAATATCCTACTGGCCTACTGAGCCTTTTTAATTGATTCCTGAAGCAAGGTGCCAGTTTGCTCCTGATGTGTATGATGCTGTCCAAGTTGTCAAGGGTCCAAAGGACCAGGGTCCCAATCCACCACATGTTCGTAATGTTACGACCTATCGTAACACTATAACTTATCACAGGCATATGAATGGTATAGAGCTACAAACATTTTGTTGCTCAGGCCCCAGTACAATAAACAACCTACAGGTCCTGTTGGATCTCAACTGGATGCAGTGGAGCTTAAATCATTGTTTCAAATGGTTTACTTCATCGTAGTAATATATGATAAAGTTCATAATGGTAAACTGCAGAGGTCAGTTTGTAACAGGTAAACCTTTCACCTTTTCCAGATGGTATTTTAAACACATTCAGTGGTCCCAAAAACAAGTAAACATGTGGAATTAGTACGAGAAACCAATAAAGAACGTAAAACCTTTAATTGCTGATTTCATATACCATACAAACCTACACAGCTTTGATCATTCCCCCAAATGGGGCCGTAGGTAAAGCATGTGCTTGTCACGCTGAAGACTAGGGTTCGAATCCTCATTTGGGTACAATGTGTGAAGCCCATTTCTGGTGTCCCCGCCATATTGATGGAATATTGCTAAAAGCGGTGTAAAACCAAACTCACTCATCCCCCAAATTACCATTAATTTTACTTTTACTCGTTTCATAATAAAGTACTAGACATGGACAAGTGTTGTGTCAAATGTCATAAGATCCAATGTGTTTTTACTGTATTTGTGTGATGTTTCTCTTGTTTAGAGCTGAGATGTGTGATAATGTACCTTTCCTGTTACTTCGGGGACTCTATTTAGTTGTTCATGTTTTACCATGCAATGTATACTGTGTCAATCACTCATCGTCTCATTTTTACCTTTGTATATATGTGAAATCAATTGTAGATAATCCATAATTTATTTGTAAGTTATCAAAAAGATAAAGAGCAAGAATTATACTTAAAAATTGTTTGATGTTGTCTGTCTGGCAGCCACCAAAGTCCACATGCACTCACTGAACATGAACTACACGAGTCAAAAGAAATTAAGGAATGTTCTCACTCATGGCCACTTTACTTGGAGTGGTGAATATTGGAATCCTGGTGTGGAAACAACAGCAAAAGTAAGGAAACACAAAATGGTATGTGGTCCCTTGGAGAAGACACTCCATCACTTTGATGATGGAAGAAAGCAATCAGAAGTACCTGATTAGTTTAGGTACAAGTGCAAAATTCCTTTGACCTGTTGGCCCTGAGTAAGGAAACGGGTAATACAACATATATTATTCCTGTCTGTGCCATCAGTTTATTTCCTGCTGAAGTCTCTGCTAATCCACTCCAAAAGGGCACCAAATGGTGTACAATTCATCGGACAAAAAGGGAAGTTACATGTCAAAGCCCATTGACCTTTGCCGACATCTTTTAAATTACGATATCTCAGAAATCACAGGGCGAAGTTTAATTTTTGCCTGCTATGTCTACTTGCATTTTTCACATTTTATTCAGTTGCATGCTTGATTGGCATTTTAGAAGATGATATTTGATGAACATAGAGATTTTTCTGGGTTACATCTTCTTTTTATTCTCAAGTACTCAGTTGCGTTTAAGAATTTTTTAGATGTACCTTGGTGGGCTCAAACATATTTTAAATTTATCAATTGTCACTATTGCACTTCATCCTCGATAATCTCCAGGGTATACGTTACGATCACTCTCCACTATACCCTGGATGCATCCACGGCTTGGCCTGATGATTTTATTACCTCCCTTGGCTGGCATTTTATCCAATCAGGTGTCTACGCTGGGAAGTTGAGTGAACCAATCACAACTCACTTTCGCTTCTTAAATTATCTAACCGTTTAAACTTGGCAACACAATTGATGCAGAAGGTACTCTGAAAGAGTTCTTTCATATATTTTTTAAGTTTCAGAACTGTTAATTTGTCTGTATTATTTCCCAAAAAGTCTGAGTGGCACTGAGAACAAACCTTCGAGACTGCGACCGCTATCTTTGTTGACACTGGCAAGCTTGGATGTAACGGTGGCTTAGCTGATTGGCTACTGTGAGAATGCGGAGCCAGCAAAGGGAGGTAATATAATTATCAGGCCAAACCGTGGACACATCCAGGGTATAGTGGAGAGTGATCGTAACGTATACCCTGGAGATTATCAAGGATGTATTGCACTTTAGACCATGTAAATTCTTTCAAAGTGCATCCTTCATTATAAACACTTCCTCCGACACCTCTGACCAATGAACCTAAAATTTCACACTTGTTCCCACCACTGACAGTTATCTTTCATGACTAGTGACCATATCACTATTAAATAACTATATATATTAGAATGTTATTATCATGTCCCTTGTGGATATATTACATTTTAAGTATCACACCCAATTTCAAGTAAAGACACTGCATTTTACCCACAAAAAAAACTCTAAATTTAATTCCAGCAATCACAAATAATGTCTTGAATTTATGAAGGGATACCATTCAATTCAATGAATATGTGCATGTGATAGACAACACTTAGTACCTGAATATATTAAATTTTGATAGTAACAAATAATCACATTTAAATTGAAAAGGAGCCTCAGTGAGATGGGAGATTCAGAACCTGGGGTAAATCTCAACTTGCTTTATTTAGGGCTTTAGCATTGCAGGGAGGGCTCGGCGGTAGGCAAAATAATGTGATTCATGGACTGAGACGGACTAGTGCGTGCAAGTGAATCATAGTATTTTGTTATTTCCCAATAAATACAAAGTACATACAAATGACACATGAGTACATGGTGTTTATTGACAACATAATATCAATATATACACAAATCAACAAAAAATGTGAGCAACTCTTAAAAAGAATATTTCCATAGATTGAAAGGTCAATAAAACATGTTGAAGGGAACTATCTTGGCATAAGACTCATTACATAACTATCATTTATATATTTAGATATTTCTTTTCTTTGTTCTCTACTTTTCTCTCAGTGATGACCTTTCAAAGATATCTAAACATTTTACAAATATTCAAATTAGCTATTTTTCCAAAATTATATTGCTTTAGTATTAAATATGTATGCTTAGAACATTATGCTAATGGACACTCCATGACTATAGAGAGTTGACAACATTATTTCACTATACACACAAATCAAAATGATCATAGTGACAGAATCTTAGATGATATACTGCAATAGACGGATATAGTCGATAAATCAGGTAGCTTCGTAAATCAGGTTCTGTATGACAACCCATGTTATTTTTTTCCAATTAAATAGTTCTTACTTCATGAGTTACATTTGAGAGGGGGCAATTACAGACATACTGATCTAAATTATTAAGTAAAAAAAAACAGATAAGACTTTTTTCATACCACTGACTGAAAAGATTAATCTAAGCCAAGGAATTTTAGATTCATATTTGTAAGGGCCAAGACCAAGTTTCGACAACCATTACTTTGATCAACCGTAATCCTGTACAATGCATTTTACTAAAATCTACACACCCAGTACCCCTTCTCCTTCTTCGAATGTCAAGGCTTAGATAAAATGATGGTTAAATCTGCTATAAGAGCAAATTTCTGAAGTCTGTGTGTTTGATCAAGAAAATGTAACCATTTCTCTGCATCAATCTACCATACAAGTAAGTCCATTAGAGGGACAATACCATGATGCTGTGATATGACAGGTATGCCAATGATATGCGTGCAATACGGTATCCCAATACATTAGTTTTATTTCATAGTTTATATTCTTTCCCATTTAGCAGGTGAATTACAGCCCTGCATATGTTTCCAAATGTTCAGGTAGCAAAATGGGAACTTGTAGTGGAGAAACAAAGTCTTGGGAGCACTCGGCAGATTCTATTCATAACCAGCCAGGAACTACACGAGAATCTGCATCAACTGGTTCTGAAACAGTTTCAGTTGTTGATTTTAGATCAATGTAACATTTAACTCTATCTTATGTATGGATTACAAGGGTTCTAAAACAAACCTGTACAATACTGCACTGCCGTAACATTACACCACTAGAGTGGAGATGAAACCAATGTACCACAACTACACTGCAACAGGAACACACTAAGGTGTAGAATGCTGTGTCATTAATGATAAACATATGTGAATGATAGTGATGTGATAAGATCTCTTTATCATAACAACTGAATGACAGAGCACATACACAGTTCCTTGTGATGACTTGAAACTGGGAAAGGTTCTGAATACATAGAAATCTTATCGGAAATAGATTAATCCCAAATTGTTCAATTGCAGTGTTGGAGTTTATGCTGAGTGAAATTAATCTTTTTTTCTTATGTGATCAACCCCTACGAGAACTGTCACCCTCAAATGCTAACAGACAACAAATGTACCAAGTATACATCAAGTTAAAGAAATATTTCACAAAACAACAAAACAATAAAAATGATATGTCTACAAGGCCTATTTATTAGTTGGTTTACAAAATGTTGGCCTAAAATTCAATCAAGGTTGTCAGAAAAAAACACACATAAACATCCTGATTTGCCTTCTACAAAAAGATGAAAATAAAGTTTTAACATGGCAAGATACAGAAGATTTCATAATGAGAATAAAGATTTTACACACATTATTCACACCTTTCTTCCAAACTGTGATTTAATCTCAAGGTCTTTTTCTATTTATCTAATTGTCAGACAGTCAAAGAATGAAAGTCAAAATAATTTAGGTTTTTTAATTTGTTGTTTTATTGGTCAATTAGTCTGTAAACCAGCTAAGAAAATATATATGGCCAAAGAGAAAAATATTATGTCAAGAAAGACAAAGGACAGCATTTCCATGAAAAATAGAATATGTAACAGCAAACACATATCCTATGTAGCATACAACACATATCTGGAGAACGTAACGATAAGCAGGGGGTAGAGAAGATCCTTGTCGGAGTCTATAACTCTCATAATGCCCGCCTGACCAAACAACTCCCTTTGTCAACAAGGAGAGGCTCATTTTTAATGAATCATTCTTCACATGACTTCTATACATTAAAATGAATGGCTACCACGAACACTGAACAAAAATATCAATGACAACTGTATACTATATATATTTTTATATACTTCTTAAAATTCAAAAATTTAACTGGAACACAGTTTAATCACAAATCTTCTGCATTCATGCTTACAATAGAGAAAAATAATATCTATATTTTCAAAACATATAAATGAATGCATGCCATTTATTCGTCTTTTAACTTGTCTTAACCAGCAAGAACAAGAAACAGCATAGTTCATTATGTCTCAATAAAACACTTTTTGATTTCCCGTGAGTGAGTGAGTGGGTGATAATGGTCAGTTCCTCATTACTTATGCAGATGAAACGGGTTCATTTTGAAAACATTGATGTGGTCATGTTGTTTGATGGCCACAGGCACTCTCAAACATTTCAATCCTAACAAATCATTTAACAGCAAAAAGTTAAGATAATATTTAAATCAGGGCTCCAGATAATTTTTCAACATCAGGAGTACATACTCCTTATTTTTTCAATATATGAGTACTGGAAAACAATAAGAGTACATTTTGAGTACTGAATGGAATTTAATGGTGTATCATTAAACTTGTGCTTCATTTCATATATGCATGACAGCATTGCTACTCTGGTGTAAACGGTCAATAAACAATTAAACAATACTTTTTCAGATAAATATGTCTGTAAGTGATTCTAAGACCGTACACAATTGCTGGGGTGTGTATCTGCTACGTTTTCTAAATTATTTCCTACCGTATCGTGTATATTTTTTATCCGTACATACGCCGATACGTCCCTTATCTGTAGCCCTGTTTAAATCATAGTCAAAACACGTAGTTCATGAATTACAAAAGTATATTTCAACAAACCTAGACAGGAAAATGTTTTAATTAAGGCTTGACTAAGATACAGTCTTGTGTTTATGGAGTCAGAACCACAAAATATGTGCATGAATATATCCTAATACAGGATTCATGCAAATTGGGCACACAAGTTTATATGTTTTAAAATCCATTAACTTCACACCATTTCTTATAAATATATGTATGCCACCTATAATAATTTCAGAGACTGCTTATCTAATCTCTGCCATAGATAACTGTAGACAACACTTGATTCAACACTACATTGAACCCATTATATCCACCTATCAAAAACTGGTAGTTGGTTGCTGAATTCTTTTTGGGTTTATGGCCAAATGCATCAAATACTGCCTAATTAGTGAATCAAATACCAAGATATCACTCATAAATTATTTATTCAATTACCAACTGGACCGGATAGTACAAATCAAATCAAAATAATCCCTGTTAAGTCGTTGTCAGCGACTGAAATATATACATCCAAATGCAACATAGCAGTGTTCACGAAAGGTGTTTCCAAGTAACAGGGCATTGCATCCTGTAAGTTTCAGAGGTCTGTCTGACCCACTGAAAATTCACAGGACCCATAGAACAAAAATTAAACACACATTTCAGATTTAACACTTCTTATAAGTGGCATTGAAATTATTTACAAACGTAAAATTTGTAAACAGCAAACAAGTGTGATGTGTCACATACGACAACTTCAGTCAAAGTCATTGTGAAATATACAGTCGGACACTGGGGCCGGCAGGTGGTAGACTTCCACCAGACCATCGGCGAATCTGCCGGATTTGTCAGAGGGTCAGACGCTATTCATGAACACTGACATAGTTCTATGGCTAAACACAAGCGTGGCAATTAATGTGACACACATTACTGGCAGTACATGCATATTCATATTTGAACATTGGACATCTTTTTTATAACTACAAAAATAGTCATAGATCACAGATTACTCTGCTTTCAATGTTTTCAAGATAACAATAACTAGATCACATAACAGATGGTGCTGCTTGTCGCACAACTAATCTTTTGATCTTCCATTGAATCACCACTTAACGGATTGTGTACACTATATTCCTCCATCGCCATGAATACATACAGCTGATCGCAATTTTAGTCGTTTTCTTAACCAACACATCACGTAATGGCCTTGTTTGACAAAGTGGGAAACAAACCATTAAGAGATGAGATAACATATGTTAAAAGCAAAGTCTTTTATATTCTGTACCCATGTGGTATCTGCTCCACACATTGTTTCAATGATAGGGTTCACACAGTGTGTGGAGTCTATCTTAAAGCCACATTCCACAACCTCGAGTTACACAGCATCATACAATTATTGCTGTAAGAGACCCACATTCGCCATATGTACTCTCAGCAATGGAAACACAGTGTCATACTATATTAGCTAAGCGGCAAAATGGTACGAATAAAAGGAAATTAAGAATACAAATTGCACAAAAGATATGGACTTCAGTAACCATGGTTACCTTGGACAGGAAGTCAGTTATATCATGGCATCAGCTGAAGAATCTTGCTGTTATTTAATTTTTTACCATGATCGTGAAGTTTTGATGTAACAATCCGTAAATCAAACCTTTTTTTCTTGTGTATAATATTCACCCTCCTTGTTTTGGAAGAAAATTGTTAACCACACTCTGGCTGTTTGAGTTTCAGTACTGGTGATGTCATCATGGTTGTTTTTTTAATAAACATATCTTGAATGAAATTAATACAATATATTAAGTACAGATAAATAATTTTCAAACCAAGGCAGTGACAGAACTATCATGAGTACTTCAGTTCTGGTTTGTTGACAAAAAACACAAACTTGTGTTTTGGTTGAGAAATGTCCATAAAAATTCATTCCATGTGTACTATGCACACCCAAATTACAGCTGTGTCTCTTCTTAACACAAATCAAGCACTATACACAAGAAAAACAGAATAAAATATCAACCACAAGGTAAATGTTGAACTGTAGTGGCTATGTTTAATGCAACATGTACTCTTGGAATGATGATGCACTTGAGAGGCCAAGAAACAAACAACAAGACAAGGCACAACGTGTAACAGCTACTCGTCTGAAACTGTGTCGAACTAGCTCACCACGTGAGGTTAAGCACTGATGACCAACAGTCTCACGCCATCCTCCTCATCACAGCATCATACAGTGGACACATCCACAACCAATCACTCAACACTGTACAATCTTCGCAGAGACTGATCAGCTTTCTCTCATCATACTTATGATTTTCCAGGCTCGTACTTGGCCAGTGAGTGCTTCAATTGTGAGTTTTCTTTTTTAATTTTTTCAAGTTCGGTGCGAAGAACTGAGTTTTCCTTCTCCAAGAATGAAGCTCTCATGGCTATCTGGTTCTCCTTGATGCGCCTGGCGTCCCGGGACCGTTTAGCTGCCACATTGTTCTTCTTCCTCCGACACCAGTACTTGTCGTCCTTATTGTCGTCAGGGACAAAGATCTGGAAATTGCAATGAAATAACATTGAAACAAAATAACATTATTTAAAATGAAGAGATAAAAACGTGTGAAATTTAAGAAATATTGAAGAAGTAAGCATACACTCCAAAACGTGGTCAGGTCATCTGACCAGGTTGACAAAGGGGTAATCATACACTAATGCTTTCAGGTGACCTAACGAGTCACACAATAAAAGTGCTAGATCACACATTCCACCAACTTGGTCACACAATGAACGAACTGGGTCAAACAATCAACAAACTAGGTCAAACAATGAACCAGGTAGATCATACAATAAACAGGCTAATTCAGACAATCAACCCGCTAGATCATACAATCAACCGGCAAAGGACACATAATCAACCGACTGGCACATACAGTCAACTTATCAGGCCACACAATCAATAACCCAGATCACACAATCAAAGAACTTGTACACTTAATTTGACATTTAATTGTCACTAATAAAAAAGGCTGGGTTTACCTTTCTTGATTTCTTTATCATTGGCTGAGGTTTCAACTCCTCCTCTGAAAATGCCCTCTTACGAGGATCGAAGTTCTCTTGACCTGACACAAAAAAGAGAAGTACCATGAATCCCATGATCTGTTATGTTAATTGGTATTCAAACACACGTTGAGGACGTGAAATGGTCTTTAATGCCCTATTGAGGATTATTGCACTGACAAAGCAGCATGCATGCGGCAAGCCTGTCCAGGTCGGAACTAATGCAAGTTTCATAGTACTTACCTACCCAGTAACCACATTCTCACATCTTAAAATGTGTTCGAAATGAGTTCCTATTTCATGATATGGGTTCTTATGTCATGATATGGGTTCTTCTGTCATGATATGGGTTCTTATGTCATGATATGAGTTCTTATGTCATGATATGGGTTATTCTGTCATGATATAAGTTCTTCTGTCATGATATGGGTTCTTATGTCATGATATGGGTTCTTATGTCATGATATGGGTTCTTCTGTCATGATATGAGTTCTTATATCATGATATGAGTTCTGATGTCATGATATGGGTTCTTATGTCATGATATGGGTTATTCTGTCATGATATAAGTTCTTCTGTCATATGGGTTCTTATGTCATGATATGGGTTCTTGTCATGATATAAGTTCTTATGTCATGATATGGGTTCTTATGTCATGATATGGGTTATTCTGTCATGATATGGGTTCTTCTGTCATGATATGAGTTCTTCTGTCATGATATGGGTTCTTATGTCATGACATGAGTTCTTATGTCATGATATGGGTTCTTATGCCATGATATGGGTTATTCTGTCATGATATAAGTTCTTCTGTCATGATATGGGTTCTTATGTCATATGGGTTCTTATGTCATGATATGGGTTCTTAAGTCATGATGTGGGTTCTTCTGTCATGATGTGGGTTCTTCTGTCATGATATGAGTTCAAAAGTCATGATATGAGTTCAAAAGACATGATATGGGTTTTTCTGTCATGATGTGGGTTCTTATGTCATGGTATGAGTTCTTATGTCATGATATGGGTTCTTATGTCATGGTATGAGTTCTTATGTCATGATATGAGTTCTGTCATGAAATGGGTTCTTCTGTCATGATATGGCTTCTTCTGTCATGATATGAGTTCTTATGTCATGATGTGGGTTCTTATGTCATGATATGAGTTCTTATATCATGATATGGGTTCTTATGTCATGATATGAGTTCTTATGTCATGATATGAGTTCTGTCATGATGTGGGTTCTTCTGTCATGATGTGGGTTTTTATGTCATGATATGAGTTCTTATGTCATGACATGAGTTCTTCTGTCATGATGTGGGTTATGTCATGCTATGAGTTCTTCTGTCATGATATGAGTTCTTATGTCATGATGAGGGTTCTTCTGTCATGATATGAGTTCTTCTGTCATGATATGGGTTCTTATGTCATGAATTGGTTCTTATGTCTTGATATGGGTTCTTATGTCATGATATGGGTTCTTATGTCATGATATGAGTTCTTATGTCATGATATGACTTCTGTCATGATGTGGGTTCTTCTGTCATGATGTGGGTTCTTATGTCATTATATGGGTTCTTATGTCATGATATGGGTTCTTAAGTCATGATATGGGTTCTTCTGTCATGGTATGAGTTGTTCTGTCATGATATGAGTTCTTCTGTCATGATGTGGGTTCTTCTGTCATGATATGAGTTCAAAAGTCATGATATGAGTTCAAAAGTCATGATATGGGTTTTTCTGTCATGATGTGGGTTCTTATGTCATGGTATGAGTTCTTATGTCATGATATGGGTTCTTATGTCATGGTATGAGTTCTTATGTCATGATATGAGTTCTGTCATGAAATGGGTTCTTCTGTCATGATATGGCTTCTTCTGTCATGATATGAGTTCTTATGTCATGATGTGGGTTCTTATGTCATGATATGAGTTCTTATATCATGATATGGGTTCTTATGTCATGATATGAGTTCTTATGTCATGATATGAGTTCTGTCATGATGTGGGTTCTTCTGTCATGATGTGGGTTTTTATGTCATGATATGAGTTCTTATGTCATGACATGAGTTCTTCTGTCATGATGTGGGTTATGTCATGCTATGAGTTCTTCTGTCATGATATGAGTTCTTATGTCATGATGAGGGTTCTTCTGTCATGATATGAGTTCTTCTGTCATGATATGGGTTCTTATGTCATGAATTGGTTCTTATGTCTTGATATGGGTTCTTATGTCATGATGTGGGTTATGTCATGATATGAGTTCTTATGTCATGATATGGGTTCTTATGTCATGATGAGGGTTCTTTTGTCATGATATGGGTTCTTATGTCATGATGAGGGTTCTTTTGTCATGATATGGGTTCTTCTGTCATGATGTGGGTTCTTATGTCATGATATGGGTTCTTATGTCATGATATGGGTTCTTATGTCATGATCTGAGTTCTTCTGTCATGATTAGCGTTCTTATGTCTTAATATGGGATTTTCTGTCAGAACTCCCAGATGTTTGTACAGAACTCCCAGATAAAGGGTACAACGGCCTACAGAATAATGTTGACAGGGTCGCCTGCATTTTCACAAGTGAGGAAAATAAGGGATTTTCAACAAAAAGATATTTAAACAAACAAAAGAGTAGAAACAATCTTCAGAACTCAGTAAATGGTCTTGTGACATCTTCTCCCTAAATTGGAGACCCATGGTTATACATTATGCCTATCGTGGTACACACTGGTACAGGAATACACATAATGACTATCATACAACCTGTCAAGCCCGCCCATCCCAGTTGTTATATACATATATACGCTTTGTACAAAACCTATTATTCCTTCCGGCTGTTCCAAAGTCTCTGACCTACAGACTATTTATTGTCCATGTCTTACCATAGAAACAAAGTTCATCTCATAATCTAAAGCATAAAGCAACCATGATAAAATGCATCTGTTTTACCTTCGACATTAACGAGAGTCAAATCATCTTGAGACACAGAAAAGTCAATAGATTTAGGACTGGCAGCTGGACTTCCTACAGGACTGTAAGCTGTTGAAGAGGTCACTACAAAGTAGGAAAACATTGGTCAGAAATAACATACACACCTGGTATGCTCACCAAAGCCAAATCAGTAGGTGAAAGCTCAAAGTCTACTTTAGGCTGACACTCACTCGACAGGGGCGATTCAGGGGCCTTCGACTCACCAAGCTTACTTTCTGCTAGAGCTGAAAAGGATGTAATATACATCTTAGTGGCTGCAGAGGATCAGGAACTCTATGACTTGATACAGGTGAGTGGTTTAACTCCACCTTGAACTGTATTCCAGTGGCGTTATTGTGTATGAGCTTATTGTGGGAGGAAAACCCAAATTGAAATATCTCCTAAGGACTGTTCATAATTTATTTTGTTGGATTTGCATTTGAATCAAAACTCCCCAAATCTTAGATATTTTAGAGAATCCTCTGGAATTGCTGAGGCCCACAGATCCCAAATCTGCAGCAAGCAACAGTAAAAATTGCCCCAAAGAACTTAATATTCCCAATTTCTGAGAATTTATGAAAATAGGAATATGTAAAAATTCCAATTTGTCAGGCAATGGCACCTGGTTATGAATCCGAGATAAATCTCATTATTAACAGTGATGACATGACTCCCTCATCTTAATTTCAAGACATTGCAGGAATTTCCAGGATAAGTCCCCAGCAAGTTATGCTGGTCGTAATGGGTTTTAGATGTTAACCCCTTTATCTCAGTCCATTTCTGACGATGCAGCTACACACAACAGATACCTGATGCAGGTGATGCTGGTAGGTTGTCATACGTGGCAACGGGGGTCACGGGCTGTGGCGGTGACTGTGGAGGTGATGGAAGTGGAGACGGTTGCGGCGATGGCTGAATCTGACTCGGCGATGGCTGAATCTGACTCGGCGGAGGTGATCGTGATACAAAGGGCAAAGGTGATGCTTTGGGGCTCCGCTGGCCATTACTGGGTGGGCTCTTGGACGCTTCAGGACTAGTCACATCAGTCCCATTCAAGACATTGTCCAGATTGATCGGGATGCCATTCTCGGGAAAGGAACTCATCCAGATCCATGTACTCCAAGTTGAAGTCTGTACTGTCATAGGTCTTGTCCCACAAGTTTGGGCCAAGGAAGGCTGACCCAGAATCATACATGCCATCTTTGCCAACTTTCTTGTCCTTCTCTGCTGCTGAAACAGTCAAAATGGTTCAAAATTACATACCAAATTATCATGGGCATGTTAGTGAGTTGGATGTTAAACTTACAGCGCTTTTACTGGTCTCGACATTCATGCTATCCCACTGGCCCAGGTCTAGTAAAAAAAATGTTGACAGGACCAGTGCTATATGTGGACAGTGATAAGTGCTATCCCGACGGTCTAGTAGAAATTTAAGGCTGTCAATAAGAGTCCCTTGGCAGGACCAGTAAGAATCTGTAAGGACCAGTGATTTTTATAAGTTACTGGTCCTGTGGTCTTGTTCAGGAATTTGGGTGAATGTCAAGCCCTGATTTTAGTAATACTCCAGCAATATCATGACGGGGGACACCAGGAATGGGCTTCACACACTGTACCCATGGGGAATTGAAACCAGGCCTTGGCATGTTGAGCCAATGATTTAACCACTAGGCTGCCCCACCTCCATCAGCATGATGTTAAACCTTTTACATGTTTAGATCATCCAATGTGTGTTCTGATCATTTTAACATTTTCTTGTATCGGAATCTTCAAATAGGATTGATTTTCATGGACAAAAATATAATGTTGTTTGACCTGATAGGCACCGTGGGTATGTTGATGACAACCCTCGTATCATGACAGAATGTGGGACATAACTGACTTTGGGAAACAGCACACTCTACAAACCGCCTTTCAACGCCATACTCCTACTTACTTACCATGCTCAATATATTTACAATTTAACTGACAACTTACTGAATAACAAATATTACACCTCACAAGCAAGTAATATCTGAGCTCTACCCATGAAGATCCGGGGAAGAATTGGTCTTCAGATACCCATGCATGTCATACGAGGCGACTAACAGGACCGGGTGGCCAAGCTCACTGGTTTGGTTGACACATGTCATCGTATCCAAATTGCTGATCGATGCTCATGCTGATGATCACTGGATTGAGACTCAATTATTTACAGGCCGACGCTAGTTAGCTGGAATATTGCTGAGAGTGGTGTTTATCAACAAACCAACTTACCAACCAACCACAGAGGTACAGATAAGCTGCGTATCTGCGTAAATTACGTAAATATTTATGTGAAAACTCAATTCCTATTAAGACTGTTGCGTACAAGTATGCTTGAATTTTTGTAAATACTCAATAAATTTTATCTTGCATGCATACACACAAAAATATCAAATCTTAGCTTGTGTACGTGTGGATAGATAAAATAACTGAGGTATATTGAGAAGTTCTAATTCAGGACATGAACTTGACAACTTGCAGTCTTTCTTAGCGTTTCTCATATTACAGATCAAATATAAATAACAAACAATAACATTTAAACTTTATTATATTTAAAAAATTAATGGAAAATGGCAATTGAGCCAGAGTGAAATGAGTACAATTTATTTGGTCACTCAAAGGAAAATTAGGATACCAAATTGAGATGAACAGAAGCGAGTACATAACTCAATGACCCAAAGAGTTATCTGTAGCTCTGCAAGCAACCAATATCTGAGATCATGCTCTGCCAACTAACATTTCAAGTCTGTCAGTACTAGTGATGAGTACTGGCTTGTATTTCAAATTGAAAATATTGCAATAATTATTTATTTTCTGTGATAGATACAATATGACAGATATCACGATACATAGGTCACAATATCACACATATCATGATACATAGGTCACAATATGACACATATCACGATACATAGGTCACATTATTACCCACGTGGTCAACCTATTGGTAGTAACATACTGATCTCGTACGTCACTTGATTGTCGCGTTGACCTGTGTCATAATGACTTGACCTGAGATTCTAACGATTTGATTGGATAATCGATGATCTCTCAATTAGGTCACGTTGTGACGGAACTACTTTTTCATTCATAAAAAACAGGTGAATTCATTCATTCTATAACTTATATGCATTGTGGGAAGTAAACATTACGAACGTTGCGGTATCGCTGTTTAATTGTGAGTCTGAGACATTATATCCGTTGAAAAACATAAACGCAATGTTTCCACTAGTGATGTTAGCCGAGTGAAGCAAATGCGAACTAAGAAACGGGGTGCTACAGAGTAGTTTAATGTAGGAAGCTGTACGAGGCGATGACAACTGACATGCATCGTGACGTCGGTGACCAAGGGGGCAGACGAGCAAGGCACAGTGACATCATTACAGTGTGACATCATGCAAAAAGTGTACTACAGAACAAAATTCTTCCGCAACCTCTTTATGAAACCGGTTTCGGTTTGAAACCATAAAAATAACAAAAATACACTATTTTGTCAATTTAATGCTTGTCAGACATGGGTAATAAATAAAATACCACACTTGGTCTCATAACATAATTATACGAAACTCGTGAAACACATATCACGATACATAGGTCACAATATGACACATTTCACGATACATAGGTCACAATATGACACATTTCACGATACATAGGTCACAATATGACACATATCATGATATATAGGCAGGGTATGATTTAGCCATTAACAGGATGCACCTTTGCAAGTTACTCTCTAGCTGGTGCAAGTAACAATTACCAGCAGGTTGCACCCAGTGCATAATAAACTGTGTTAATAACGAAACTTAAGATGTTCATTTATTTCATTAAATCTTTTTAAAGGTGAATTTATGGTCTTTCTCTCATTGAAAGTTTTATTATGAAAATAGGAATAAATTAATCTGTTGCACAGTGCATAAGTTACTCTTCAGTTCTCCTAAATTTGGTAAGATACCTATTTTCTTATAATACTTTGGACTGCAACCAATTTTTTAAAAGTGCAACCAAAATTATCTATCAGGTTGCACCTGGTGCAATCTCTTCAAGGCAAACTAAATCGCACCCTGCATTGGCCATAATTTGACACATATCATCATGAACATGATAAGTGACATGCTTGACCATCACAGTTCCACACGTCTCCATTTTTTGTGCCAGTGCAAGGATGGAATTTACCCTAAAATATTTACTTGCCCTCATCATCATCAACCTGTGTTTCAATGTTAGTTTGCAAGTCGAAGACAGCTAAATTGAGCCAAGGACAAACGAAAATCCAATAATCGTAGTCCTCATTGACTAGTACTAAGTAGCAGGGTGGTTAAAACTCTGAACTAATTTCAATGCTTCAATTAGCATGATTAGGCATTAACTATAATTAACGGGAATACAATGAAACTGATAGAATAAATATGTAATTATACACAGAAGACATTTCTGTCTGTGCCAGGCAGGACTACTAAACATGCTCAAACAAAGGGATCACAAATTCTAGTCTTTTACAACCACAGTTTGACATGAGCATTTTAACAAAATACATAGTAGTGAGCGAGTATGGTTTTACGCCGCTTTTACCAGTAATTCTAGCAATATCATGGATGGGCACACTGGTATGGGCTTCACACATTGTACTTCATGTGGGAATCGGAAACCAAATCCACTATCGATTATCGGAGGAATTGTGGTGAACAATTATTGATTATAATCGAAATATATACATTTTTAATGTAATCACCAATTTTTAGGTTTTTTTTAATAACTAATCCTGTCATGCAGTGAAATGCACGCATGCAAGAATGACACTGGAATGGTAATTAAACAATAATAGTGGTCAATATTTTACAATGCGCATAGCTTTAAGCTGTTGAGCGCATGTTTGTTCGTCAAATTTAATGGTTAGTTCACTTCATTCAAGTGCGTTATACTGAAACAACAAAATTTCTGATTAATTGAACATGTTGAAAATATGTTTTTGACAATCGATCATTATTTTTAATCCTTCTTTCAATCGATTTTCGATTATTTTCGATCATCGGTACAACACACATTGTACCCTTCAACCACTACTAAAGGCTACCGCATCACCCCAAAAATACATAGTAAGTGACCAGGACAGAAAGCAAAAAAATGTTCTTTATATGTATAGTTCATTAAAAAAATACTTGACAGTCATGTGGGAGATAGGTACCGGTAGGCAGGTACTTAAAGCATTTTATTCCTTCTTTTAGTTTCAACAATAAACTAAGTTGATAGAACAAGTGAAAAGATAACACACTTGTTACTTGTTTGTTCTTGGCAAGACTCTGCAATATTCTGCCGAAATAATCCAAATCTGGACCCGAAACTCCAGTGATTCACAGCTGGACGATTAATTCACACAACTGGGATATAATAATATGCAATCCGCTAAGCCACTAAGTCGATTTATCTGCTTATTACGACTGGAATAAACTGCAAAGGCCTATATTCTTAGATGGCAGCCCTTGGTGGCATGTAGTGGTATGTTGTAACGTGAGCTTTTTCTGTCACAATCTGAATGCACCACTGAAAATGGTGCATACCCCCTTGTAATACAAACCAATAATAGCGACTTGAAACTATGACCGTTTGTTAAACAACTTTTATCCTAAGTTGAATAAAATTCTGAGATTTAAATGTTCAATTGGCAAGGTATAATCATGAGGATTCGCAATTCCAATTTCACTTTATTTGATTTACGTTTTTGTTTAACGTGAAATTCATCGGTACGTTGTCACTGCAAACAGACTATATAGGTCAATATATGGGTCGTACAGCGCTACCCCATGATAACACAACCATACCACTGATGTTAGTAATAAAGAGAAGCAGTGTTCTTGGTCACGGGAAGACATACAGTAATCTCTCTCCTTGAAAGTACGCTGTTAGAGGTATGAAGTTTCCCATCGGGCAATACCCTTTAGGGTACATGTGCACTGTTATGACCTATATCCGTCCCAAGTCACGTTGGCAGAAGTGTGAATGTAAACAACTAAACAAAATTGCAAATTCATTCCCGGATCCGAAGAGTAGGAACCCCTTGTAGTATATGTTGCGTAGAAATGTGAACCGCTTTGAATGCTGAAACTGACACACACCGAAGTACATCGATCTGTGAGAATATATCATTTATACACCACTGTCATAACACATGAGCGAAGGGGCAAGGAGATGTAAACCAGGTCGATCTTGTAGACACACACACACCAACTGGCAGTAATACTCACTGTTTGCTACTGGTGGGCTTTGAAGCTCGGGGTTTTCTAGCAGTGCCTTGAGGGTCAACCCGCTATTAAACATTCCGTAATTTGCCATTTTTGCGAGTTTTCTGTCTCCGCAAGCGTATCCTTCCACCCTCAACAGACTGTACGTGTTCTTACCACTATAGGTTCAACCAATCAGAATCCAAAACTATGGTCATGTGACCTTGTGCACGATTGGCGGAAAATGACGACAGCTCCAGGCAGCGGGCACGTTTTTGCCCATGTGAGCCTGGGGTTTCGACCTTGGACCAGTTTGGCTATAGAAATGACCGTTGTACAGCAGCTATAGGTGGTCAATAACCCGCGGTGCGGATTGCTTTATCTGCTTGTGAAGCTCGACTATACGGTTGAGACGTTTCACAAACATACCGAATAGATCGCTCTCCTTTAATAATGCTGAAGGGGTCGTTGTCGGCACAGGTACTACAGATATGTACCCCAGGTACGTTTCTGTATACTGACATGTACCCTAAACAAAGTCAAACTACAGAAACGTACCCGGTACCCTAAACGACGAGTGGTGTACGTTGTGCACCGTGAAATATTCGTTATACTGTGTATGCTCTTATATAACGCAGTCAAATGCATCTAATACAACAGTGTGACAGTTCCGATCAAGAAAACTCCACAATGCAGAATGGAATCGTCCTAGGGTACATTTCTGTATTCTGATTATGGCCAGGGTACATTTCTGTATTTCAGCTTTAATAATTGTGAATGAAAGGTTCATATAGTCATCATGTTTTCAAATTGCGCTTGGTTGTATATATGCGTCTGATGATAAATATCTGTTTGATATACCTACCTAACCTTGTCAATCCCACAACGGATATTACAAATTTATTATGTACGTAAGGGACCGTTCATAATTTATGGCTTGGGGGTGGGGTGGGGTTTATGATTTTTGTGGGGAGACCATTTTGTTGTTGGGGGTGGGGTGTCAATTTTGTACTGGGGAAATTGATTTTGTACTTGACATGCAAGAGGGTTATACTTTGTACCTAAATTTTAGGGGGGAGTTGTCATTCACATTATACATGCTACTCCATATTTATCATAATCAGACACCCCCACGTTATAAAACAGTGTCAACATCTGCTGTATATGTATCTGGTCATGAATTTGTTGTGAGTTGATATTGGTTCAAATCTGTAAAAGTAACTTCAGTAAAAAGTCAATCCCAACCAGTTTTTTAGCTTTCAATAATCCTTTTATGAATTATAGTACAGTGAAATGATACTTTATTCCCCTATGTTTGGGACTTGGGAATCGTTTCTAAGACATAATAAATAGACTAACATAATAAAATGACCGACTACTAATTTAAGCGAGACCAATATACTATACTAAAAACTTGACATAGGACAAATTTGAATTTTAGGAAAATATTTGACACAAACCTATCCATGCTGAATCCCAGCCTGTGGGGGAATGGTTGCCGACGACAAAACGTTTGAAAAAAGAAACGTTTAACGAAAACGTAACGTTACACTCACGTCTGTTGTGAATCGCTAAAACGCACCCTACATGAAATGCACGAGCATCATCACCCTGAGCTGAAGCCTAAGACTGTAGGCTTTAAAAAGCCACATCAATGGTTCTCCACATGCATTGCTTTGAGCCACTATGGACGACAAGAGAATGAAAAGCCTGACAGAAGCTCAACGGCACAACGCCATCGGCCGTTACAAGGACGGACATCGCAGCATGATGTGGCAAGAAACTTCAGCGTGTCCAGACAAACCATCTCAAACCTATGGACCCGATACAAAAATACTGGGAGTGTTAATGACAGACCCAGGTCAGGTCTACCTGCCACCTCCACCCAGGATCGCGTGATCCGGTTGAGACATTGTCGTTCAAACACCACGGACGCATCATCCGCAACAATCCAAATCCCTGGGCTGCGCCGAATCTCCGACCAGACAGTGCGCAACTGGCTATGGAAAGCCAAACTTTTTGCCAGAAGACCACTTCAACGTTACGTCGTTCCCTACATCAACGTGAACTTTGGAGCATGACAATGCTCGACCTCACGCTGCACGTGTTTGACAGGTCTTCCTCCAGCAAAACAATGTTCAGTTGTTACCTTGGCCTTCTCGATCACATTCCTCAAGACAGCATTCGGCATCTCCTTTCTTCTATGGGTCACCGCTGCCAAGCTGTTATCGAGGCTCATGGTGGTCACACCAGATACTGACATTTTACTCTGACCGAGTGGCTTTGATAGCCCTCTGTGGATTTACCAAACACTTTCTGGATACTCATGTTTTGGAAATTTGAAAAGTGATGATTTTACTGTAACTGAGCAATGATGTCATGTTTGAATCAGTTATAAGCACTCAGTAAGTAAACTCCAAAACAGCATGTCAAGTTTCTTTATTTGAAGAGTATATTTTTAGTGATTGACTACTAAGTAGGGCTGGGACGGGTCAAATTTTTCTGCCTGAGTACCCCACCCCCTATTACCCTACCCTACCCTGATACCCGTTATGTTAATTCTTGACATCAAATTTGTAAGAAATGGCAATGTATTCTTCTTGAGCAGTGAGGAGGTCACGTCAGCATTTGTGACGTCATCAACTTTGTGACGTCATAGCATTGTCAGCTGTGTTCTTAGCGATGTCAAAACATTATGAGGTCATTAACTGATGATGTAATAGCATTATGACGGTTCAATTGTTGCGATATCCACAATGTAGATATCGCTTGTAGGTATCGCTTGATCGCACACAATCGATATCTACTGTGAGAGCCAGTTTTGGATAATTAATCTACTGTCATACTTCACTACCAGTTATCAATCATGTGTACCCAGATCGTTCATTATTCAACTACAAACTAATATATCATACAATTTGGACATTTAAAGTTATTTTCCGAGCATCCTCTACTTATTTTTAAGTGTAATGAATACATTACCATGCATAACGATTGAAATTGTCACTCTTTATGAGGTGAGGTGAAATTGGGTTTAACGTCGTGCTTGAGAATATTTCGCTCATATGACGACGTGCATGCGTGTGTATGTGTATGTGCGGCTGCTTGTACTAGCCAAGACTTAAGCTGGTTTTATAGTGCTAGTCCACTGAGATACCATGCCGCAGTGAAGCATGAATACCCCACTCAGACACATTATACTGACTCCGAGCTGACCAGTCCTTGTTGTACCCATTAATGCCGAGCGCCAGGCGGGGACCAACAAGTACCAAATTTTACGATTTTGGTATAACGCGGTCGGGGATCGAAACCGCTACCTTCCACTCTCCGGGCGGACGCTCTAACCACTACACCACGGAGGCGGTCCCCACTCTTTATGAGAAAAAAGAGACAATATGATGACCGCTAACTATCTTGAAGGACGAAAGGAGTGGGATGGGAAATTTGATTGTATACTGTTCACACTTTGCTAAGGATCAAATTATGGATTCAACAGAAAACTATTGTGTAAGGCCAAATTTGTTTTAAATACCTAAGCTTATTGTAAGCATGGATCCTCGGTTTCAGTATGCCATTACATCTTGTGGATCCCATACCTGCTATTGACAGGTGTTGTGTACTTGTCAATGACTCGTTCCAAGATTTGAAAAATGGTTAATTGGTGCCATGAAAACCATTTTATGGTTACTCTTGTATCAAGTGCAGTAGATTAGATTCAAGTGGCTGCTTGCCTAAAGTGGTGTTTCAATATTATTATATATCCAGTTTTAAATGGATACAATTTCAAATTATAAATCTATGTTTCAGTAAAGTTGAGAAATTTTGTGATCCTTAGCAAAGTGTGAGTAGTATATTTAAAACCAGCTCTGTCGCCACAATTTGAATATATTTCACTCACTCGACGAGGACAAACTTTGTATAAGCCTCCCATTGGCAATTTGCGGAAGTCTGTTCCATTAGTTTGATGTAATAATAATAATGTGGGTATTTATATAGCGCTACATCCAGGTACTAATACCCGCTCATGGCGCTACAATACTATAGGAGAAAAGAAAATAGTTAAAACTATTTACAGAGAGACAATTGAACATAGAAAGTCTAGTAATAGGCAAGACGAAAAAAGTGGGTTTTTAGAGACGATTTAAATGTGTCCAAAGATTCAGCATTCTTGATGTGAGTGGGCAAGTTGTTCCAGAGACTGGCGGCTGCGTGTTGGAATGATCTTTTCCCATAGGATGAGAGTCGAACTTTAGGAATGACAAGTAGCTGGTGATTCTGGGATCGTAATGGTCGGGTTGGAATGTACTGACACAGAAGACTGGAGAGGTATTCAGGTGTTTGTCCATGTAGAGCTTTGAAAGTGATACATAGAATTTTGAAGTCAATCCGGAATTTGACAGGCAACCAGTGTAGAGACATCAGTGAAGGTGTGATATGATCTTTCTTGGACTTGAGGCAGACGATGCGAGCTGCTGAGTTCTGTAATTTTTGAAGTTTCTGAAGTTGAGTTAAACTGATGCCAAAGTGCAGACTGTTGCAATAGTCAAGTCGATGTATACTGTAACTCTGCATAACAAGTAATGTTGGGACTTCCGGATACATTCCCTTGCTAAACATGTTAAAAGTCTTTCAAGCGCTGACGTAACATGTTCAAAAATGTGGTTTTGTTACATGTTGGAAAGACCCGTGAAGATCCGGGTTAGAATTGATCTTCAGTAACCCATGCTTGTCGTAAGAGCGAATAATGGGATCGGGTGGTCTGGCTTGCTGACTTGGTTGACACATATCATGGTATCAAAAATTGCGTAGATCGATGCTCATGCTGTTGATCACTGGATTGTCTGGTTCAGACTAGATTATTTACACACAGCAGCCATATAGCTGGACTATTGCTGAGTGTGGCGTAAAACTAAACTCACCCACTCACATGCTGGAAAGTGCAAGGCGTCACCAAATCCTAGTTAATCTAAAATAAAGTATTTAAATTTTGTTACCCAATTTACGTGACCTTGTTCATCGTACAAACGAGAGGGCAGTATATTTTTATACGAGACAGTTAGTATTCAACACACCGAAGAAGATGTCTACCACTTTCGACTAAACCCCCATTATTTGAAGCTGACAGCTTTATTTTTCAAAAAACGCTTTCATGAATAGTTAATCTTGAATTGTTCTAAGTCACTGAAACCATAA